TAGAGATGACGGGTGTCAGTTATCTGATACGACTTGAGAGGTCATAAGAACTGTGACTCACCACGAGGAACTTGGAAAACACAACCCTTTCCAGCACTAAATTGGACACCTGAGATATCCACTTGCACACGCCCGTGACAGACATAAAACACCATGTGCATTTTCTTCGAGTTCTTGGGTTTCTTGACTCCGTCAGGTGGGAGTTCGACTACCCCAGACCCAATGAACGACGAGCTAAGCAACTTTGCAAATCGGAATGTCGAGTCTTTGACTTCTCTGGTTTCAATTCCGGAGGGTGCATATGCAATGTCTGTGTCAACACAAACTTAGTAAAGGAAGTAAATATGACAAGGTTGGATATCATACCTAGGACTTCCTCTTCCTTCGAACTGGTCTGTGTTTTCCCGTCCCATTTGAGGGTGTAGCCATGAAGAACACCGCCTTCCTTCTCCCAGAGATCAACATCCTCATCCTCGTCCGAGGAGTCATCCTTTTGTTTTTTAGACTTAGACTTGTGGGACGCTGAGAGCTTGCCCCTCTTCTTCTTCTTCTTTTCAGGCTCTTGCTCTTCGGTGCGAATAATCTCTTTGATCGTTGAGAGAGGGTATCGATGTCCTTCGGCTGCCTCCCCATCTCCGAAGACACACCGTTCATTGCGCCAGTAAGCCAGTGGTCGAACGGAAACCCGCCCAGATCGAGTGTGAGTCGCACTATTGTCAGTAGGATTTTCGCGTTTGAGAATATACAAACTTCGGCCCTTCAAAGGACCTGTCCTGTTGGCGTAATTCTCAACCACTCGATCCAGTTCTGGCTCCAACGGTTCACGCACTGGTGGAGATGCTTTGGTGGTGTTTCGCTTTTTGGTTGGCCTAGGGTCGACATCCTCTTCAACGTTACGGCGCTGAGACTTTGGACGTCCGCGCGGCGCGGGATGTTTCGCCTGGTTCTTGTCTGTCTTGGCAGTGTTTGGCGCAGCCTTCTTTATTGGTTTGGAGGTCACAACGGGTTCTTCGCGAGGCGGGGTTGTGTCAGCCGTGGATGAATTGTCGTCATAATCGTGTTGGTTTTGCCCGGGAGAATCAGGCAGCTCGTCTGCAGCAGCTGAATCGGAATCGATATTCAGGCTGTCACCAAAATCTTGTTGTACTGCGGCGAATGCATTCGCGTTCTCGTCGCCTTCGGAATAGTCGGAAAAGTCATGTATAACTGCGGGCTCAAATTCTGCTGCTAGCTGTGCTTTTGTCGCTGTCCTTTGCCGTGTGCCATTCCTTTGGTTTGAGCGGCCAACGTTCACGGACCGAGTAGAAAGAGGAGATGGATCTTGACGCGATTCTCCCTGTGCGCCCGCGAAACCTTTGCCGTCGGACGGACTAGACGACTCAAGAATATCCTGCGGATCCGGAGTTGATTGCATAGCTGGAGTCCTCCGCGGAGACCCAGTAAGGCCAGTCTTCATCGGCGACCGCGCAGCAGGCGGGGGGAGAAAAGAGGTACGTGAACCATTTGTGCTCTTGAGGAAGTCCATGGGATCTGGCGCATTTCCTATAGAATTTGCATCAACACGCAATGAACCAACAGTTTGGGGCAACACGAAATGAGCCCACCTTCATCCATCGACATGCCCTCGGACCCAATCGAAGAGTCATTTTCCACGTCTTCAAACCCATTCAACTCGACGGGCGACTTTTCAGGAGATGAGAAGAGACCGTCTACTTCTTCCATTCCATGTTCGTCACGTCGACCCTCTTTCAAAGATATGCCAGTGCGCCTAGATGAATTCAGTATAGAGGTCCATAGTAGTGACATTGACTATGACATCGACTCACCTTCCCTTGGTTCCCACATTGGAGTAGTCGAAGTCGCGGGCCTTTCCGGGCCCTCGTGACATATTGAAAATTGATCGCCAGGATAGAATAGCAATTTACCTAAATCAAATTTCACGAGAGAATCAAGGCAGTCAAGAGAGACACAAAGTGGAGGAATGCGGAATTTAGGCGGGAAGAGCAACACGCGCCCCCCGCTAATCCCGAACGGTCGACGCGTTCACTCGGGAGATCTTGGGAATTTCTTGCTACCTTCACTCTTCATTCTGTTTTTTTTTTTCTTTAAACGGACTTTTACAATCTTCTACATGTCTGTCATGGCCAAGGATACTCCACCAGTCAATGCTCCCAAGGAGTCCTCAACCTTTATTCCTCCTAGTGTGATTTCGGAACACCTTCTGTCCGGCGACTCCTATACGTACTACACTCCATGCCCAAACGCGATCACGCCCCAAAATACCTCACCCACGGTTCATGATACAGTTAAGAGTACACCATGTGTTCTGGGTGTCGATGAAGCCGGCCGTGGTCCTGTCTTAGGGCCAATGGTCTACGGTGCCTTCTATCTTCCTCTGGATCTCCACCACTCGCTTTTGACCGAGAAACACAGCTTTGACGACAGCAAAGTACTGACACCCGCCGTGCGAGCCAACCTGATGCATTTACTGAACACACCAGGGGACTCATTGTTTGAGTCTTGTGGATATGCGATCAAAGTGCTTTCAGCGCGCGACATCTCTTCCGGCATGATGAGATCCCCCACCGCGGTATACAATCTGAACGCCCAAGCCATGGACGCCACAGTCGAGATCATTCGAGGGGTAGTTGAAGATCTTGGAGTGGATGTGCGAGAAGTGTACATTGACACTATTGGGAACCCCGCTACATACCAGCAAAAATTGGAGCGAATCTTCCCATCTCTCAAAATCACAGTGGCAAAGAAGGCCGATTCCTTGTATCCTTGTGTCAGCGCTGCTAGTGTGGCAGCCAAGGTGACACGAGATGTTGCACTGGAAGTCATGTACGAGGCCGTGCTTCAGGCTGAGCAGTCACTTGGCCCAGCCCCCGAGACTTGGGGAAGTGGTTATCCCTCAGACTCCAAGTGTGTCGGCTGGCTTCGACGCAACATGGACCCTGTGTTTGGATGGGGCAACGAATGTCGATTCAGCTGGGGCACTGCAAAGGAGATGCTTGAAATGAAAGGAGGAACACGAGTGGACTGGCCCTCCGAAGAAGAGGAAGGGGCATCTCGGCTGGATGAGTTCTTACTTTCATCAGCCCCCGGGAAAAGCACGGGCAAGGTTGGATTACGAGATTGGTATGGCCACAGACAAACTGAGGTTCTTTGAATGCGAATGCTCCATGTACTGTGAGCAGACATGAAGCTTAATCAAACATTAATGATACCCCCTGCACTTTCTAGACAAAGCACAGCAAGAGAGAATAAGTTGAAGATGGAAGAGCAAATCCAATCACAAATACCATAGAAAGAAGAAGAAAACAAAAAAAAGAAAAGTCTCGTAAAAGATATAAATGGGTATCATGGGTGAAGCAGAGCTGAGCTCATCTGTGGAAACTCACAGCGTAGCGGTCGAGAAGTAGAAGTTGTCCCACAGGTATTCATAGTCCTCCACAACACTGCCCACCAAGTCCAACAATAACTTGCCTTTCATCTTTCCAGTTACACTGTGTAGCCAGGACCTGTTTCGAAATGTCAGTCATCGATCGAGAAGCCTAAGGCAGTAGACTTGAGGGTCTTACTTGGTGATATTTTCATAAAAGGCGCCTCGCATCATCCACCAGCCCATTGACCATCCACGCTTCTTCAGTTCCTCTCGCTCAAGCCCTGTGAGTCCTCGGAGCCCGCCAGCGACCCGTTCGCGGAAGTCTCGCTTTGCGAGCTGACGGCAGCCATACTCCATCCCAAACCCAATAAGCCATGGCCGCCAGCTTCGCTTATCACCACTCCACTTCTGCATCGCCATTGCGTAGACGACAGGTCGAAGGATATATAGCACCTCAGCCAGCTGTCCTTGTCCTGTTGCACGATGGAGGAGTGCCTTTGGGGGTTTGATATCATCTGCCGTAAGCACTTTGGAGATGAGATAGTTCGACACATCGTTTACGTCGGGGAGAGACGGAAGGGAAAGTCCCGTGCGAGGCATTGTCCAACTCAAGTCTGAAGACCGCTCGCTGATTGGAGTGTCCATTCCGTTCCAGTCACTCTGTGGTTCCTCTTCTTCTGTCGTCCTTGGATCTACCTCGCGCTCTGGAAGTGGAGGACTGACGAGTGGCCTGGAATTGGTCAATCGCAGAAGAAGCAAGCGGCAGACTGCCTTTGCGAATTCAATAAAGACAACCACGTGCCAACGAGTTTTCTGACCGCGCCGTCGCGCCGCCATCTCCCAAAGAAGCTCGGTATACTGGAGCATTTGTAGCGCAAGAGCTACCTGGCGATACAGCGAGGAGCGAGAGGTCCAATATTTAGTATACCGAGAATGGGGAGTGGGCGGCGGCCGGGGAACAGTCGATGGAAGTTTGTCAACGACCCGTGAGACGAGAGAGTCATGGTATAATGATAGCAACTGGACACCGGAGTGTACTGCAGGGGTTATCAGCGCGCGCGCGCTCAGAGGCAAGTACAATGTTACACTTACCACATTCTGAGGGTATCTCTGATTCGCGGTATCGCCCTGATAGAATAGTTGTTAGATTATTCAACAGCTCGTTATTGCGAATGAGAACTCACCTGGGATGATATAAGTCAAAGACCTCAGCGCTGACTCGACTTGACCAACCGAGCTGGCATTCTTAGTCACAAAGTCTTCATAGATAGAAAGCCATTTGGAGGGTTGCAAGAGCACCAATGGTATTGGATTCTGAATATTGCGAACGGATTCCATCTTCAAGTGTCGCATATTGAGATAGCTGTGACGAAGGAGATGAGATCCGGGGGAGGTTACAGGGGGGCACGTGGTCCCGCTTCCGCGTCTGCCAAGACGCCTGGGCCGAGGTTGACGGCTTTTTCATACTTGTATGAAGTACTCTATCCGCGTACTCTGTATCATATTGAGATCTATTGAGATCTATGCATTGCAAATTAATTGATGGGTTCAGATATCTTTTATGATGCCTGTCTAGTTTTAGATAATATCGAATAGTTTATAGAAATGTGTCTTATTCATCCGCCCATGTCCATAACCCACCAGGGCGCATAGCCTCTCGATATCGCTCTTCCACTTTCTCACGCTCTAATTTCTTAGCAGCTTCAAGATCATCTTCCTCCTCCTGCGTATTGGGCATGTCAGTCCGCCAGAAGCCAGGAGGAGATTGAGCCCGCTGGTGAGTATGCCGATGTCGACCATATTGGTTGGCCAGGGCCCTGGCTCTCGCTTCCACCAGGAGATTTTCGCGCTCTTTGCTGGTCATATTTCGAAGCAACTGTGTGTCTTCTCCCACAAACTCCTGTAGAACAACCTGATCTTCTTCCTCTTGTTCTGCTTCGGATTTACCGGGGAGGCCCCCAAGTCGGGCCATGGCCCGGAACCGATCACCACAACATCCTGGGCGAGTACAGCCTGATATGCATTTGCGGTCATCTTTCTTTCGGACAACTGCATCATAGGCGTAATCAAGTCCTTGATTTCTAGCTGGATTGATTTTGAAATGACCCAACCCAAGGCGATGAAGAGGTCTTGCCCTGAATGGTTCATCATCGGGGTCTATTTCCAGGCCCGATTGACTCGACAAATGAGGTCTTGTATGATCACTCTGGGGTATCTCATTCGCCATTATCGAATCTGGACCGGAGGCTTTGCTCAACAAACTAAGTGGTGATTTGGAGGCTATTGATCGTTCTAGAAGATTTTCTAGACGTCCCTGGGCATATCCAGCATTGTTTTTTGCTTCCAATGGTCTAGCATTGACACCGGAGCCGACTTCCGAGAATGTCCGTAAGCTTGTCGCATCATCGCCATCTTCTGCTAGAGCTGGTATTGCGCGTCGCTCTAGATCTTGGAGGCGCTTCGTGGAAGATCCACGTGCAGATAATGCGACATTGCGAGTGTTACCGTCAACTGGTTGGAGTATATGTGGCTGTTGAGAAATTTCCTGCCTTGGTGATTTTGGCTTTGAGTGATGCGCATTACTCGTACTGTTCTCTGAATTCCAAGCGTCCGCGATGTTGATATCCCGGTGGGCTTTCCGTTTCATTGGTGTTCGTATCGTGTCTCCTATCTCATCGAGATCTTGCGTGCTTAAACATTGCTGTTCACTGTTGTGCATTACACCTCGGGTTGGAGTCGAGGACGAGAGCTCATTTTTGAAAACTGCAGGGTGCTCCGGGCTGATGACTGCCCGTTGGCTATGCACGAGATTCCTGCCGGGAAGTGTTGGTGAGGAACTCTGCCGAATTTTTTGTCGGGCGGCATTGGGCTGGGGGCGTATTGTATCAGAATTTTCCGAGGGGTCGATATCGGGTCTAGCAGAGCCAGACTGGGTGGATGCCGACTCTGATGTTGGGCTGTGAATTATTCTTTGGCTATCTTCTTCAACTTTCAGGTTTGCGTGCACATTATCTGCACGAGTCCTTTTTTGCGACAGCTTGATGGCCTTGGCTGGACCGTCTGGACACTCTTCTCTTGGGCGTTTCTTTGGGGAAGCCTGGGCCTGCGAGTATTCTTCGCCAACGTCCTCGGAAGTGAAACTCTGCACTCTGCGGAATGTGACAGGTCGACCATTGAGAACAAGCGAGAATTCTTCACGCTCCAATTGCTGATCCCATCGCCGTAGCTTCTTTTTATGCTGCAACACCCGGGATTTGAGACCACTCCAAGTTTGGATGAATGTCTGTAAATTTGTATAAAGCGCGGTGTATTTGGCCTCAACTCGTTTCCGAGAATTCCGGAGACTGCGATGATCATTATCATCCAGATCGTCTCCCCAGAGGTTCTTCGGGTCAAATTCACTCTTTAGATTGGCGTATCTTTTGGGAAGTTCAAGATCCCCTGGATCAACTTCATATTGTTGCAGCTCACTCCGGAGTACCGTGATATCACGCCGAAGCTCTCGGATTGTTATCTCTGATTGTCTCTGAGCTTGGTTCGCAATTGATTCTTTAATCTCTGCCTCTTTGGCGTGTGCATCAAAATGGGATTTCATCTGCTTATAGGCATTGTCGAAGGAGGCCTCACAGGCATTTGCCACAGCAGCATGGAGCTCCTTGAGAACTTCCATTTGTAATCCCTAGTGTATCATGAGATAAATTGGTCACAAGTGAAGAAAAAACAAAAAAAAAACAAAACATCCTCAAGTTGAAGACTTTCAGATATAAACGCGACGCGTCAAGGCCAAATGGGCACACGTGAGCTTATCACTTACTGATAAGATCAATCCCCCAGTGCCTTGGGGCCCACTCTTGCAATTCCCTCCACCGTCAATCACTCCATTCCTTCGACAGTGAATTGAATGATTTTTCTGGTTTATTTTACTAGCCTTCTCGTGGTTTTCTTCGGCCTGAGATAGAATGCCAAAACGGTGCCGAGATCACCGGGACTCCGATCTACCCCAAAAGCGTATCCGTACTTGGAACGATACTGGGCCTGTTGATCGTCTGTCTCGTCTGAGCAATGAGCTACTACTCCATATCCTTTCATTTTTACCAGTATCATCGCTTAACGTGTGTCAAAGGTATTTATACACTTCCAATTTAGTCGTTAATTCTCAGCCGTCTCGCTGACTTCCCACCGCAACAAGGTTATCACATCGCTTCCATGCTCTTAGTGGGGACTCTGAGATATGGAAAAGGCAATACTACTTGCAATGGGTGCGGCCCCGTGCACGCCGTCTCGCAAATACTAGACGCAGAACCCTTCCGACGAAGACAGATTATTCGCCCAAAGTCGCAACATGGTTCGATCATGGGCACTTAGCACAGGAGGGCAATTGGAAACAGCAGTATCGGCTCCGGCACAATTGGTCCAAAGGGCTCTGTCGGGTCACTGAGGTGGAGTTTCCTCAGTCACCATGCCCTCCTACGCTAGTCAGGTTCTGTGCTGGGGTTGTCTTCACGGCAGACTCAGTGCACGGACTCCGGGCTTGGACCACAAGAGACTCGGCATGTTGTCTTGCAAGCATTCCGTTGTCAGCTTCATCGGACGGATCACCTATGAACCCAACCGCCTTGGCAGTAAGTCAGATCCAAGAAAAGATCGAGATCTCCGTCGGACTGGAAGGTGGTCACTTCAGCCTCTTCGTCATGAATCTTCAAACGTCCCAGCTAGACTTGCAGTTCTCTCATTCCAACTCCAGCGATGCTGCTATAACAGCCATGGCACTCTCGTCGCCGTATTTAATGGTAATATCCCAACACAAAGATTTGACTTTGTACAACCTACGACCTTGCAACCACCAAGCAGGGGGAACCAACACCTTCGAGCCCTACCAGGTTGCTTCTCTCAAAGCAGATAACATTATTGCACCCATGGCACTATCTCTCAGAGCCTCATCCTTCGAAATTGTTGCCACTATTGTGTATAGTTTCTTCCATATTGGCTGTGGGTGGTCTCTGGGAATTCAAGAATTGCGTCTGGGCAAAGATGGGCAACAACTTGATTCACGACTGGCTACTACAGTGGATTCCCAATATGGATTGCGGCCACTCCGATCCAGAAACAGGCGATATTCTGCCGAGTCGGTCGACAATCAACCTCCCATCACCCCTGGGGCACCATCTATCCTACATCAACAGCCGCCAACCTCCATGTCCTATTCCCATCCGTATTTGCTGACCTCTCATGTGGACAACACGTTAACCATGTACCTTGTGGTATCTACGTCGGAAAGTTTGTTCGTTCAAGGTGGCCGGCGACTTTGGGGCCATACCTCTTCCGTATCTGCTGTACAAGTGACCAACCGCGGGAAAGCTGTCTCTGTAAGCTCTCGAGGTGATGAAATTCGAATATGGGAGTTAGAGACGGCGATATCATCGCTGGGCCACAGATCCTTCGATGAGAACGGAGTTCAGCTCCACGCTGGAAATAAGGGGGAGTCCGAGCCAGAAAGAATTTCTCACAATTTGGGAAGTATAAATGTGGAATCGCAAGAATTGACCCTGCCCGGATTTGATGACGAACGAGTTCTTCTTCTTCGAAATAAGACCGGAACACAGCGACTTGAGTGTTACGATTTCACCTAACTATATCTAGATATAGAGAGATCTAAATATGTATATCTATATATATATAGGTATGTTCTAAGGTAAAGATAAAAGAAAAATTAGCCAATAAACGAGTAGTACAAGGTAATGAACTGGGGACCCGGGGGCACCCCTGGGACCCCTGGGACTTCCGGACATATATTCATATAGATAGATAGATATAGAAAAATGTCCCAAGATCTCATCCTCTCATCCTCTCATTTACCCTTTTTTTTTGTCCAAATTGGAAATCCAAGTGAAGAAATGGAACTTCTAGGGCGGTCAGCTTTTACGAGCGGGAAGATTTTCTCCCCCGCACTACAAAATATTATTTGAGACTCTTTCAAACTTGCTCTTTTTTTTTCCTTCTCATCCTTCCCCCTTCTTATTCAAATATGGACTTCCCTCCTGCTGGACGTGGTGGCTGCTTCAACTGTACGTTCTTTCTCTCTCAATTTGAAGCTGTGAAGACGTCATCCAGAAGCTTATAGCTTTGTGATACTCGAATTGGAGCCTTGTCACACACATACACTTCATACTTGGACCTTTCTTCTTTCTATTAATACTAACTTGATTCATAGGCGGCGAGGCTTCTCACCAGGTAATTACAACCTTCGATCCGGACTCCCTGAGATTTCTCTGGATTTCTGATAGAATTGAAGCTTACCGGTTCTGTATAGGCCAAGGACTGCCCTAAGAAGGGAAACCCTACCTGGTAATTCCCCTATCTTATTGATCTGTTAAGTCACAAAAGCTAACCTTATACACTCCCCCAAATAGCTACAACTGCAATGGTATGATCCTCTCGACATTATACACAAATAACCATTAGACATCTGGACTGGTCATATGAACTTTGCTGATCAAGTTAAATCACAATTACAGGCCAGGGTCACTTGAGTAAGTTGAAGTGGAATATTATAGACTCCGGTTGAAATTTGACTGACATTTCAAAAGGCCGTGAATGCCAGGAGCCCGCCAAGGAGAAGTCGTGCTACCGTTGCGGCCAGACTGGACATCTTTCCCGCGAGTGCCCCCAAGGTGGTGACAGCAACTACAGCGGCGGTTCGCAGGAATGCTACAAGTGCGGACAGGTCGGCCATATCGCGCGCAACTGTTCTCAGGGTGGTAACTACGGCGGTGGCTACAACGCGGGTGGTAACTATGGTGGATTCGGTGGTGCCGGTGGTCGCCAGCAGACCTGCTACTCTTGCGGTGGCTTCGGTCACATGGCCCGTGACTGCACTCAGGGTCAGAAGTGCTACAACTGTCAGTAACCTCTCTTTCACTCTCCCTTCTCTCCGTGGAATCTGCTACTGACTATGATTAGGCGGCGAAGTCGGCCACGTCTCTCGTGACTGCCCCACCGAGGCCAAGGGTGAGCGCATGTGCTACAAGTGCAAGCAGCCCGGTCACGTTCAGTCCGCTTGCCCTAACTAAGATGCCCCATTGCTTGCATTGCTCTTTTGGTCAACATCTTTCTGCAGTTTTCATGGGATTGGACGACATTTTTCATGCATGCACGAAACGAATTTCTCTTTTTTTCCCCCGAAAATGTATGATTAGAGATCAAACCTGCCAAGGTTGACATGATCTAACTTTTGATACCTACTGAGGTTGTTTGGTAATTTCCGGGTTATATTCCAACGCGTATAAAATGTGAAGTAGGGAGCCTGGCAAATACTCGTATTTGCAATTTTTTTTGAAGAAAATTCTCTCTGGGCCTATCTCTCGTAGCCTGGGAGTCGATGTATGTTTGCATTGTAGCTCAAATCGGTTCTGATTCCTAGTATATCACACACACACACACACACACACACACACACACCCGGCTCCCAGAGAGTTGAGATTCACATAGTGCTCGTAGCTGGACTACGAGCTGCAACTGCACATCATAGCCCTCTTATATTTGGGGACATCCCCGCAGAAACGCTCTTCCTCTTCCTTGTGAAGACCCCATTCATCGTTGAACGGGTTCAAAGACATCTGCATGATCCGGTCTAGGATATCTCGGTCTCCTTTGCGCTCCACGCGCTCGATGACCTCGTCGAGAATCCACCCTCGAGGCACAAACTACCAACGGGTTACTCAACCTGTACTAGACTTGAAAAAGAAAATCTCAATCGGCACTTACATTCGGGTTGACGGATTTCATAGCCCTTTGTCTTTCCTCGTCGTTTTCGGGGCCCCAGTCCTCTAGGATGCGAAGCCGCCAGCTATCCAGCCATTTCGCAATGCGATCTCTAGCTGTAGCCTCGGTGTATCCAATCCCACCAAACCCTTCGGCGTGGAAGAAAGCTGAAGCTGCCTCCCTTCGGCCTTCTTCGGTCTCCAGATTGGATAGTGGCAGCCCTGAAAGACGGCGGAAGAAGTGGCTAAAGTCCAATTCGAGTGCTTCAAGTGTGTCTAGCATCTCCGAAAAGAGATTCTGGAAATCCGATTCGGCCTGTGTTTTTAGTCCTAGCCTCTGTCCCATCAAGCGTTTGTATTCGTTCAAGAATACGGTTTTGAACTCCTCGCCCACACGCTCAATGATTTTCTCCGCGCGTTTGATGAGTTCCGGTTCAAACTCCTCCGTCGCCCCATCGTTGACGAACGCGCCGTCGTCGACTCGATTTCCGGCCCCAATCAACTCACCTAGTGACTCTCCAAGTCGGACCAGATTCCACCAGATAATGCTGGGTTGGTTGCGATAGGCATATCGCAGCATGTGGTCATCATGGTTCGGGGTGTACTGGGGATCAAAGTTGTCCATAAACGCAAACGGGCCGTAGTCTAGAGATAAGCCATAAATGGATGTGTTGTCGGTGTTCAGCACGCCATTCATGAAACCATAAGCCTGCCAGGCGGCCACTGTCTTCGCATTACGACGAGCAATTTCTCGATATAGTCTAGCAAACCGATTCTCTTGTACATCCTCAGATTCTTGTACTTGATCGGCGGCGATACCCCTTTGCGGATTATCAATCTTCATGGACGACTGCGGATCATGCAGCGATACGATAGCGGGAAGGGATTCCCAACCGCTAAAAACGTCTTCTGCAACATATGTCGCAAGCTTCCTGATCAATTCACGATCTCCGCGAACGCGAAGAAGATCAAAAGTGCCGATTCTTAACCAAGACTCGGCAAACCGAGCAACAATTGCTCCTGGTTCAAGGCGCTCTCGTAATACCTTAGAATTGGGGACTAGGGTGAGTGAGAGTGCCCGAGTGGTAGGTATACCAAGGGCAGAGAGAGCTGGCAATGTTTCAGCGGTCTGTCCTCGAGTTCCATGCAGGTTTTCTTACCTTCTGATACCACGTATTCGCGGATGCTGGACCGGAGGACAGCTTTGCCGTCTGCGAAACGCGAATAAGGTGTTTTGCCTGCCCCTTTCAGTTGTAGCTCATACCGCCTACTTGTCTCCGGATTGGTGCATTCGAAGAGACTGATTGCACGCTAATTGATCGGTCATTAGTATATTTCGTGAGCCGACGACTCATTTGGATGTTTGCTTGATAACTTACCCCGTCTCCGAGTTGTCCGGCCCATGAACCGCTGCAGGTTGTCAGCTGTTGACATCATATCTCGAGTTGCTTTTGTAGCTTACAATTGCCACCCTGCGTAGGTTAGTTTCTTCGGTCTAGATTTTTCAAGGATGAAAACGTAGACACTGACCTCCATAACACTGTGCCCATGGGTAGATTCCACCCTCTTCCTCGTCCCACCAAATCTCATTCCCGGCGACCAGCGCCTTGAATCGTGACGTTTTTTCCTCGCCTAGTTTCAATCCCAAGTCTTTCATTGCTTTCACGCTGACTCCTAGTAATTCTGGCTCATCGGTCCACTCAGGGCGGACGTATGTGAACAAAGCTCCTTTGACCATGCGAGGCCCCAAGGTTTCCCGTGGAGCTTGATGGGAGGATTCCGGTGTATCAAAAGCCGGATCAGGGGGCAATTTAGACGTGAAGACATTTGATTTCGGCAGTCCAGCCAGGGAGGTCCCGGCAGTCGAAAGATGTGATGCCATCTGGTTTAAACGATTCCAAGCCGGAGGCCGAATGCTCCGTGGAAACATATACCAATTCCTTGTACACGCAGGCACATAGAAATTCATAGAGAGACCAAGTAATTGCCCCAGGGATATGGATCCAGGCGAAGATTAAAGTATGGCGAGGTACCCCGGGAGGGTCAAGAATGACATAATTGACATTATTAATCATTGTTCAGGTCCACAGGTATCAGGTACGGCCTTAGCTGGTCGGGGTATCCACCTTAACAACTTCGCTCTATTTACTTTTGAAAAGACATTGAAATGGCAAACACGATTTCGTCCATTCCTACATTGGACCTCAATGACGGTATCTCGATCCCTAGTGTGAGTCAAAGCACCAATGTCCCCATCTAGTGTGGGCAACATGTTTTCTGACAAATATAGGTCGGATATGGCACTGGCACCGTGTGGTTTAAGAGGTCTGGAGACAGCAGTATCAATCAGGAATTGGTTGAGTCAATCAAGACGGCAACGAAACTAGGATACTACCACCTGGATGGAGCTGAAATCTACCAGACCGAGGAGGAACTGGGACAGGCAATCAAAGAGAGCGGGGTACCTCGAGAGAAACTCATTGTGACGACCAAGGTCATCACCAATATTACCGATATCCCTCGGGCTATTGATACTAGTCTTGAAAAGCTCCAACTTGACTACGTGGACCTGTAAGTGAATTCCAACCTGGTATGACAAATGGCTCACCCGGGAACTATTGTTAATCATTGGAGTAGGTACTTGATCCATGCTCCGTACTTTGCAAAGTCCGATGAAGAGCTTCAATCTGCCTGGGCTGCCATGGAGCGAGTCAAGGCATCTGGAAAAGCTCGGTCCATTGGCGTTTCCAATTTCCTACAAAATGATTTGGAGACCATTCTCAAAACCGCCAAAGTGGTACCATCTGTAAATCAGATTGAGTTCCATCCTTACCTTCAACATGGCAATCTTGTTTCTTACCAAGAGAGTAAGGGTATCAAGACTGTTAGTTATGGGGGCCTCACCCCTGTCACCCGGGCTCAAGGTGGGCCATTGGACCCATTGCTCTCTTCTTTGGCCACCAAATATGCTGTCAGCCAGTCCGAGATTCTGTTACGCTGGATCATTGACCGTGGCTGTGTGGCTATCACCACGAGTGGCAAGGAAACTCGACTGAACAGTTATTTGCGGGCATTTACATTTAGACTGACACCTCAGGAAGTGGATGAATTGTCACACCTAGGGGGAAAGTACCATTACCGTGCATTCTGGCGTGAGAAGTTTGCACAGGAAGATCGTTCTTGAATGGCTAAGGAGGGCTGAAATATGTACATATGTTCTCAGAACTATGAAGATGTACGTACGTTGAACTTCAGGGCTATGGGTATGTAATGAAACTGTATGGTAACGATAAGCCGATAAGCAGCAGGCACCGTCCACGGGTAACCTCACGTAACCACCTCCAATTCATCTTCTTTCATTCTATCCGGGGACATTTCCCATCGCTCCTTCATGGAAATTCCTCTCATTCTGACACATCCCATTTTCTCTTTGTCACCTCGCCTGTGTTCATTTCTTCCAATTGTGCGGCTCCAAACCCCCAGGGTTATGGGAACACACCCCACGCGACAGTGATAGGATGCCCTGATTATTCGGCACCTGAACAAGGCCGGATCTTGTACATCCACTGTCCTTCACTTGACTCAATGCGTTGACTATCACCAGACAACTTGTCGTACCGACTAGAGAAACAGCACTCGGTGATAGACTTCGGCCTAAGTTGTGCTTGAAGCGCGTTTGATACTAGCATCTCTTGTGGAAGCACAAATCGCGATACCCTGCGCACTGCGATGTCGGTGAACGAGAAACGCCATTCCCAAACCAACACAACCCTCCGAGCTGCGAGCTCCCCCACGTCTGACCGTGAAGTGCTTGACCAACGATTGCAGCGCCTCTCCGACGACGTCCTCCCCCCCCGTTCCATATTTACTCACATTTCCGACCAAAACGCCCTTCAACCTGGGGAACCGATCAGCCAACAATTGGGCTGTAGGGCATGATAGACCCTTCAGCTTGGAGGAACAGCAACTACAATATATGACCTTCTTGACACACCACGACACAGATTCGTTGCTTCTAGCCGTTGGGGACTGGTCAGACGAAACGGGGCGCATGATGACCGATCGATCAACAGCCCCAAACGCTGAAGAAAGCTCAAGAGAAACCGTGGCCAGAAAGAAGATTAGTCTCAAGGACTACAAGACTCAGAAGACCAGCGGAGCTGTCATCTCTCCCGTTGGCCTTGGCCTCGAAGCAGGTAGCCGAGGCGGGTCAAGCTTCACCAAATCCGAGCAAAGACGTCAGACGACATCGTCGGAACCACTCAAGAACAACGATAAGACTAAAATGCCTCGAATGCCACCGAAGTCACACACGCGTCTCTCTCCTGAAAGAGCGGGCCAGAAACGGCCATCTGGGTCTGAGCTTGAATTCCCTAACCCCTCAGCGACAAAGAGGTCCGAAGTACATTCTACAAAGAAACCACGACTATCTCCCGAGAAAGAGACGCGCCGAGAGCCCAGCCCTGCCAAGTCACACTCCCCCAGGCTGCCCGCACTTCTTTCACCCACTCTCCCACCGACATCGGGTGGCCCCAGGCTTCCGCGCTTGCTGTCTCCTACCCTCCCCCCCAGACATCGAAAAAGAGTTGGCTCGTCTTGGAGACCATTCGCCACCTCGCAGTCGAGCAGGAAAGGGACTGCCTGGCAAGGAGTTCAATACTCATGAACATTTAAGAGACCATGCCCGTACCGAATCACAAAAGACGCAACTAATTGCCAAACTGCGGTATGGAAGAGCGAATCGAAAGCGTGTCGAAGCTCTGCTCAAATTTTGCGGTAAAAAGAAGGCACATCTGTCAGATTCACCGGTCAGCCAGGACACCGATCACGATGTCTCACATCCTAGGAAAAAGGGAGGAGATACTGGCCCATCTCGAGGGCATACACTTGGGGACCCGAGAGGCAAGAAGAACGAGACCGACGAAGCTCTTGGCCCTCAAGATGGTCGCTCAAAGGAGCCAAAAACCTTATCCGAAAAGCCTCGAACACCGATTCCTCAACAACACTCGATCTCTCATTCATTTTCCCACGACAAGACTAAAACAGCTTCCATCACTCCGGCGAAAGATCTAAAGCCTCCTATTTCTCGCCGAAACGAATTCGGGGAGACTGATGGCAAGACTCCTTCTTATCCCCCCAACAAACGTCACTCCGTTGATCCTGGGTCAACCGTGAAAGCTTTTCCGACACAGGTAGATGGTCGCACGCGCAATGAGCGACAGGTATGGTGGGATGAATGGCAAAAGTTTGCAAGCATCGGTCGTGAATTGAAACATGCTGCAGAGCGGCAAACTTCTAAAACTGGAACCCCGGCCACTGACGAAAAGCTAGCCGTCGTGACTGCAATCGAAGCGTTGCTGTCATTTATTATGGCATTTGTAGCGAATGACCAGGCCAAGGCTTCATCCCGTCAGGTCGGGGATTCCTCCACATGGCTGTCTATTGTACCATACTGGCGTGTGGTCAAGAAGAACAGTGTACCATATCCGGCGTTGAACAGTCTCTGCTTGCTCCTCGGGGCTATTTCATTCACTGCCATTCATAGTCTTGACCTTGAACGTCTCGCCATAACGCCGATTCCTGGAGAGCACACCCCGGTTCCCACGCCTGGGAGTGACGGCAATACAGCTCTATCGGATGATAACAGGAAAAGCAGGAAGGAATTTTCAGAACTGAAGGCTCGTCTCCCTGAGTTTTACAAGGATTCCCAGAGGCTATGGCTAGAGGGCACCCGGGGTCTCTCTGAAGATGTCCTTAGTCGCGAGTTCCCTACGATCTGGTCTCAACGATCTCGAAATTACTCAGAGCGAGGTCGATCATCTCTCAAGGCCGGCGACTATGTTGGAAGCTATTTTTTACCACTTGGTGGCACTAGTCCTCCTCTTGAAGTGGTTCGGTTTGGCTGGTCCCTGCTGAAAGAATGGTGCTCGAAAGAACGAGTGGAATGGCATGGGCGTCTTGGTCTCTAATCCATGTCTCATATTTGTCCCCCTTTCTCTCATCGCCTCGTCGCTCAGGATATGCTTTATATGGCGCCTTAGGGGAGGTCTTGTCTTTTTTTTTTTTTTTTTTTTTCTTGTTTCGCACTAGCCATTGCCTTTCTTCATATTTTCTCATGATACCACGAGCCCTGGATTTTCATGTAGCTATTTGCAGTTCGAATATACCATGGGGATGCGAAATAACACATTTTTATCTCACAGAGATGCTTTACCAAGGTGTACAAAGTGTAAAATGCAGAATGTATTTGCTTGTAAGTTCTTCCATGGAAAAGAAATCTATCTGAAAGTAAAGAACTTCGCTAAAGCGTGTGAAAAAAAGCGTGTGAAAATATCATAACCGCTCAATCGTACAAAAAGAAATGGTGCAAATGTCATAACCATGGAAAGCGCATGCGTTGGGGCTTGTAAGACGAAGAGATAAGGGAGAGGAAGCCCCCTCCCCTACGACTTAGACCTCTTGATATTCATGTCCAAAGCGAGGCTGCGAGTCCCCAAAGAGCCAACCAGCCTCGCGGCAATACCGGGCTTCTCTGCCGTAAATGCCGACTTCGCTTGCCCAGCAAATCACTGCTGCATCTACAATATCTGCGATGACGCCTTCCATTGCACCCAGTGTTGTCCAACCAATTGTTCCAGCGATAAGGCCGACAACGTAGGCATAAATACTGCCACGAGTGGTGCCACCGGACGCAGAGGTTGTCAGGCCCCGAGCAGTGGTCACCCAACCACCGAACCCTAAAGCCAAGGACATCATGAAACGGGCAGCGTAGAGAATCAATTTGGACAGCCGATATGACAGTAGAGACTCCGAGCTCCCGGGGGACCGAGAATAGGAGCGAGGGTGTAAAGAGCTTGAGGCGGCCGATGGAGCAAGGGTAGTCATTTGGCTCAAACCCCGGGAGGAAGCAGCAAGAGGTTGCGAATGAATCGCTGCATAGGTGAGAGAAAGAGGATTGGTCAAGTAAGTAATTGGGGTGGGGACGAGTGAATAGGCGAATAGACTGAGCAACGAGGAGATGCGACCTGGTAGCAGTATAAGAGGAAGTCGAACCAGTAGCCCTAGTAGTCTGGACAAAGAGATCGTGCCAAAGAGAGTTGTGGCGGCGTGAACGATGGCTGCCTGAACAATTTGCCTCGAGGTGGGTGCGGGTGTGGCCAAACGGTGGAAATACCACTGGCTCACTGTTGCGGCCGTGACAGCACGCTGGATGCCTGCAATGATACCGATCGACCATAGATAAACAAGAACGAAATAGATGCCGAGCCACCAACTACCCACGTCAATAAGAAACGATTTCGAGCTAACAAGATGGCCGCCCAAGAAGACACGAGTGAACATCAGCATCCAGATCCACGTCCAGGAAACAACGCAAACCAGGGCACCCAAACCAAGAGCAAGCAGCTCGGGATTAGCGGCTAAGATTCGACAGGCAAATTCAAGAATGCCTATGGCCTTCCCTATAGACTGGCGGCCGCGCACAATATTGTAGATCCACATGGTAGCTATGAGAAACGGGACAGCAGAGCCCCACCTCATCGCCTTGTCCTGGATACTCCTTCCATGCCATGGTCCCTGGAAACTCGAGATAAAAGGGTATAAAGAGAAAGAGTATAAGATAATGGGAACGGCGACTAGGATCCCATGGACCAGGAGTCGCACATAGGATCGTAATAAGGCCAACCAGAGAAGGGACACAAGAGCCGATACAATGGTATATATCCCGAGAAGGAAGAAAGATCCATGAACAGTCATGTATATTGTATCGCCCCATCTTGATCTGTCTCCAGATGGGGTAGATGTGTGAAGATAAACGAGAAATGCAGAAGCAAACAATCCCGCGAGAGATATCAAAAACAATTGGCCCCAAAAGGCATCATGTACTGTGTTTTCTGAGGCTAGCGGTGATATCGATGCTGGGAACGAGCTTGCTGAGCTGGGGGGGCCGTGGAGCATCTTGCGATGAAAGCTCGGCTGGTTCTACGGCCGCCTCATGCTGGCTGAGACCAGAGGGCCCCTTCAGCTGTTTTCTTTCTCGGAATCGCTGAACAGGTGGATCATGGGCCCCGGGACTGGATAAGGCTTGACTATCGTTAAAATCGGCCCGTAAAGAATCTTCCAGGCCGACGTCAACTAGATGACCTCGAACTTTGCTACTGCTTGAGCTGGACCGAGGTGCCGGTTCATGTTCTGGGATTTCTGCCACAGACTCGATAGGAAAAGGACGAGCACCAAAAGCATATTCTTCTCCCCGCCATGAGCTCTTGATGCCCTTCCCATTGCCAGGGCAATCGTTGTATGGTGAGCTTTCTAACCCTGAAGGTTCAGACTCGTCAAGCTCCGATGAATCGTTCAAGTTGCTGTCGCCAAAATGCCGCCTCGATCGTTGAAGCGCATAGAAATCAGCAATTTCTCGCTCACGTTCTGTTTCGTCATCTTCCTCTCGGAATTCATCGGTGGCACTGAAGAAAAGGGGAGCTTGTTGAACCGAACTGCGGGGGGCAAAAGGAAAATGAGATGTTTGGGATGCACCCGGTCGATAAGGATCACTAGGTCGAAGGAAGGAGCGTGATGAGGGTTGTCGAGGGTTGCCTTGCTGTTGACTAGGGCGGCTACGACCCGTCCTTTGAACCTCGTCTGGTCGCGAAGTTACTCGCGACTGTGACTGAGCAAGGAATCGTGAGGCATCTAGGGAAAAGTATCAGCCGTATGGTCTATTAATATTCAAGAATATCCAGTTCCTACATTCAGAGAACATGGCCTGTTATCACAACAAGGAAGTGCGGTGAATGAACAGGGCCAGTGATAAAACACTAAAAAGATCAAGTACGATCGGAGATTAGAGAGTAAATGGAAATTTAAGGGGAGAGAAAAGACTGGATTCGTTTGAGATATACCAAATCTAGGGGAACGGGGGAGGTCGAGAGAGAGGTGTGTTGTCTGGGGATAAAGTGAAGGGCTATAGGTACCTGGGGTCACGCAGCTGATGAAAGCGTCATATGGGCACATCAGGCCTGATAGATGACTCAGCTGATAACAGGTGAGGTCTCCAAACATACCATCGTAGATAAACTGACTTCTTTCTTTCCCATCTCTAATTCTGGATTTTTCTACTACTCTCCATGTCACAGCCATGGGATTATATTGCTAAGCTTGTCTGCATTGGTGACTCTGGCACTGGCAAGTCCAGCGTAAGTGCTATCGGTCTTTTGACTTTGGGCTTCCGCTAACTAAACAATAGCTCACCATCCGACTTTGTGAAGGCCGCTTTTCCCCATCTCATGATGTGACCATCGGGGTCGAATTCGGATCGCGAATTGTGCCAGTTGGTCCTCCAGCTTCACTAGAGCTAGAACTTGATGAGCCTTCTCCCGGATCGTCGGGTGATGCATTTCCAGAAGCGCCTACCACCTCCGGCCTTCCTACCCCTCCACGAAAGCCACAAGCTTCCCCCAATCAGAAACGCATGAAACTTTCCCTGTGGGATACAGCTGGGCAAGAGACATACAAGTCTATCACCCGCTCTTACTTCCGAGGCGCCTCTGGCGCCCTCCTAGTCTTTGATATATCCAGGCACTCGACATTTACATCCTGCACCCAGTGGCTGCAAGATCTACGGCATATCGCAGAAGATGGTATCGTCGTCATCTTAGTCGGTAACAAGACCGATCTGACAGGGTCCAGTTCTGGGTCAAATCAAAGGCAGGTCACTCAGGAGGAGGCCGAAGAGTGGTGTCGTTTGAACAATGTGGTTCGCTATGTTGAAACCAGCGCCAAATCTGGAGATGGTGTTGAACGAGCATTCCTGGAAGTTGCCGAGAGAATCTATCGTAACATTGAAACGGGCAAATACGACCTCAATGATCGGAGGAGCGGCGTGAAAGGGTTTGGGGCCTCGGGAGGAGCAAACACGGGAGTGCCTCGAACTGTTACATTGGGAATGGATGATGCTATGCGCAAGGGTGGCAATGGTTGGACTGGAGGGTGTTGCTAAATCCATACTCCGTAATAATAAGCAGCCGACAACACATAGCCCCAACATATCATTTTAGTCAACTCAATGTTACCAGGCACACACCAAGTGTTATTATGACCGTCTAAATGAAACTTTACTCGCTTTGATAAGATCGCAATTTTCTTTACAAATACACAAAGCAAAGTGGAATTATCCGTGTTGATACAAGTACCATGTAGGCATTTGAGGTCCCCATTTCGAGCCGGATGACACGAGCTGAGAGAGGACAAGAACATATCATCAAGCGGTCCTTGATTAGTTCACATTCGCCATTTTCCATCCGGGTAGCCAGCGTAGGTGAGTCCATTGCTGATTAGAACCCTCCATTCCAAACACGATAGCCCGGAAATGAATGAACAATCCGACGATAATCACGTATAGCAAGGCATACACCGCCGCAGACAATCTGGGACTCATCTTCCGTGTCACCCAATCAACGCAGAAGCCAAAGTTCAGAATGGCATAGTAGAGAGCCGGATAGTAATGGTGGACATAAGTCACACGGGCCATGATGATAAATGGAAGGTAATGCAAGACCCATCCGATAACCGGGTACAAGCCGGAGTAGTGGATGTGACCAATTTCCTCGTTACTGAGATCACTGTACCCTCTCTGCCAGCGCAGAAGGTACCAAAGGAACAGAAGGCCAAATCCACCCAGAGCGGCAGTGCTTCCCCAATAGACCAGAGGATTTCCTAGGAGGTAGTATTTGACAACATTGTCATCCCAAGAACACATGCGCAAGCCAACATTGAGAATCGGCCATTGCCAAAACTTGGAAGCCAAGTCATCTTGCTTGTCAGGATCAGGAACCAGAGCATTGTTGGAGGTCATCATGGCCACATTCAGGTGGATGAAGTCCTTCAAGAAGGGCGATCTATAAGAGCCAGGGTCGCCAGGGGGCACTGTCCATGAGTCAATAAATTTGATCGGGCTCATCAATATCAAGTACCTGGGGGGGGGGATATCAACTTACAACGGTCGTTGGTATGAGACTCAACATTCCAATGAGTGTACACATCACCGGGTTTGTTTTCTTTGGTACATGTTGTTTCAATCTGCTTGAAGCCCCATTGGGGTAGATTGACATTTCCAGCCCGCAGATAGCAGCCTAGGACCGGATGGCGGAGGCGGAATGCTGTTGTGAGTGTCCGGATCCTAGATCGGTCCCGGGATGCAACATCGTCGACTACCTCCACTTTCCAATGGTCTTTTTCGTCTCCAATTGTGATATTTCCGTAGGCCGATACCTCGTACTGGGATTTAGTTATTGGCGCTGGAATAGCGTGGGAGTGCAGGTTGCGACCTGTCTGTCCGTGAATCAGCCGAATGACATCGCCATCACCGACAAACCGCAGATCAGCAGTGGCATCGTATTCTGGCTCCTGTCGGTTGGGGTAGATGAACCAGTCGTTGTTGGCATCTTTGTGGTGGTAGCAGGTGACCTGCTGCTGCATAGATCCCTCCGGGAAGGTTTGAACATGGGAGTGAAGAAGCCCTCCTCCATAGCCCATGTTTTTGAGTGTGATGCGCGACCCAATTGCAAGTTCAAGAGGGCTGTCTCTACCAACCTCGGTACCGTGTAGGTTGGCTTGGAAAAGTGAGCTCATCTGGGCATCACCTGGGCCACTGTTCGCCAGCACCAAGAAGTGCAGATAAAAAGAAAACATGTAGACCAAGATTGGGATAACAATCAACCCCACAACACGAGCAACCAAATGCTTTGCGAGCACAGCCTGTTTGGGCACATCCGTATTAGCCAGCTGATCGGTGGTCGGCTTTGGTGGGCAGGGGCTGGAAGCAGGTACTTACCCGTGGCATCTTCAGGTCGCCAAATTTATTCCACAGATCATCGATGGTATAGAGACCAACAAGAGCAGTGCAGAAGAAACCGACCCATTTTACACTGCAGACACATCCAATGCTCAAGCCAGTCAGACAGAGCCATGCATACCATTCCGGCGAAAAGCTAGCATGCTGCAACCGGTGAAATCTTGCCCAGCACATCGTAGTAGTAAATGTGAAGCAGAGCAGCATCGAGTCAAGAAGTATGAACCGGGAGATTGTCGCATAAGAGTTTTCACACAGTACCATCAGACTGATCAGCCAAACTGTGGGCCGACGGAAGTTCAACTCTCGCGCAGTGTAGTAGGCAAGTGGAATGCAGACTATACCAAAGGCAGCATTGAAGGCTCGCATAAAGGTGTAGTTCACATCTTCTGGATACTTCTCGCCAGACTTGAATTCAAAGGACCCATTATAGCCAGCAAGGTAGCCAGACAGGCCAACTAGCATCTTCCCCAAAGGCGGATGGACATCGAAGTAAAACTCGCGTTTAAGATAATGAGAACCAAATTTACCGAAGTGGGCCTCGTCCCAGGTCACAATGTTAGAACGACCGATCTGGTACAAACGAGTGAAGAGGGCGAGGGCAGTCAAGATGATGGGAGCAATGATCGGCTCCCAGCTAGCTAACACATTGAAGAACGAGGGTGACTGATCAAGAGAGGTTAGAAGGGCGTGTATGCTGTCGAAGAAGGCTATCTCACCTGCGGTCTGGATTTCTTCACATCTTCATCGTTCATCAGGTTTGAGTCCAGATGAACTTTGCTAGTATCAGGGACATTTCTTCGACGAAGGTCGGACTCGAGTTTGGCGCCCGTGCTCACGGCAGTGTCTAGGCCCGCCATAGTGTGCCTTAGGTATTTTCAAAAAAAAAATCAACAGAAATTGGAAAAGTAGGGATTCAAACTGAGGAATACCGAGGTAGACCGACAATAGAAGAACGGATAGCTTAAGAGAACATAGCCATCCCCCTGGGAAAATGAGTGAAGTAAATCTAGCGGATAGATCGGAAGAGTAAGCTCAGTAGATCAAAGAAAAAGAAACGAAATGAAAAAAAAGAAATGAAGTGAAGCAAGAGAGTGGGCTGAGAGAGTAAAGGAGAAAGTGAGATCCGTGGCCTTAAGGCGGATAAACAAGTCCACTTTTAGTGGGCCGTTTTCAGAACGTGGCCCTTGTAATTCCGTCAAAGTACATACTTCTATATATATATATATATGCTCCGTTTATAGCTAGAATTCTAATTCTATACTATAGGGCTGTAGATATTCTAGTTGTGACTCCTTTATATGTATTCAATAATTCACCCCAGTTACAGATACACTGTTACTATGCACTAACGAAACCCAACAAAGCGAAGCCCCCCCAATACAACAGAAAACTCCAAGATTGAATAAGTACGGTGAACTTGATCATAAACAGAAGACGATGAATGGGGACAGGAGATATATACGATCGGATTCTTTGGTCTTACTTCCTTTATTCGGTCCGCGGCCACAATTATCTGCAATCCTTTCACTGCTCGTCTCCTTCTCCTTGCTCCAAACGTCTATATTGACTGTTGGTAGCGTCGGGACCCGCTCCTCGGTTTCGAGTGACCATGCTTGAGATCCAGCCACCAATTCCTTCGCCGCGAGCACTACCCTGGTGAGAATCTGAGCGTCCGCGTTTGCTGGTTCCTTCATGGCTTGAAGTCGGCGGGTCAATATCTAGGCCGGGGATGGAACTCTCTGCCCCAAATTGACCATATTGCCGACGCAGATCAAGCGATGGAACGGGTGAACCAGCACCCATCAATGACCCACGTTCGCCTTGGGTGGCGGGTGTCGGCATGGCGGTAGAAGCATCGCCAAAAAGGACGTTCATATCTTCGAGGCGAACCCCGCTCGTTTCGGGGTACAAAAAGTAAACTGAGGTCACATAGTCAGTATAATGGTCCCTAGTAGATTATCATGCATGAGAGGTCCTACCAAGCACAAAACTACATGCACAGAAGAATGCATGAACTAGATATAGCCGCCACTTGATGACTTCCTGAAGGACAGGGGTCACTTCACCCACGAGCCAATTAAAGGCCCAATTTGAAGCGGTACTCAAGCTTGCACCTTTGGCGCGAATACTCAAAGGCAAGATCTCCGGGGGGGTATAACCATGGAATTGGGCCCCAAGAGGCTCCAAAAGCTGCGTTATAGAGCATAACGAAGATGACCGTCAGGGTTGGGGTGGCAGGGATCTCAATGTAAATGAAGTAGGAGATAAGTGAAAGCGAAATGAGCATGGCAACAGCACCCGAAAGTAAAATCGGTCGCCGACCCCAGCCATCCACGAGATACCACGGTGGTATGGTAGATAGCAAATATGAAATACCATTGATCCCAGTCATAAGAATGGCATCCCGTCCAGCCCAGCCGGCCTATAATGAAGATTGGTCAGCATAATCCTGAGTCCCCCTTGGATCTTGTTGCAATTCGACATGGCGCCGCGGGAAAAAGACTCTGGACTCATAGCAGCGTATGGTATTCATACCTGTTCAAACACGAGAGGCGCATAGTATGAGATTACGTTGATCCCGTTGAGTTGAGCTAGAGCCTGGGCCGACATTGCAATCAAAACACGTTTGCGATACCGGCGGAACATGTCGGAGTAGGATCGCTCGCCCTCCTGTCGCTGGACGAGGACGTTCATCTTAATCTCACGATATTCTTGACGAGCCTTGTCATTGAGGAGATCGCCTTCACCATAAAGGTTTGCAATTACCACCATACCCTCTTCGTCGTGGTCATTATCAAGCAGCCACCTAAGTAGATCCATTGGAGTTAGCCGGGGAGACGGTGGGAGGATTTCTCTACTCACCTAGGTGATTCGCAGATCATCAGACTGCCAATTCCAAGCAAGGCACCCATGACACACTGGAAAAGGAGAGGAAGGCGCCAGGAATAGTCGCTATCAATAAAGCTACAAAAATAGTCTACCCACACACTAGTCGCATATCCAGCAATATTGCCGGTGAATTCGATGCATGCGAGCTTCCCACGGTTATGGGGAGGCTTAAGGATTCGTCAGCATGCCTAGCAAGAAAAAGGGGAGGCAAAAAAAAAAAAAAGAAAGATAAAAAAAACCTCAAGGACTGATGGAGAAAGGGGATTACAAACCGAGATTTCAGACTGGTAGACAGGCACAATGGTAGAGAGGGCACCAACCCCTAGCCCAGCAATGACACGACCGACCATCATCATGGGAATGCCTGTGGCAAATGCTTGAAAAGCACCACCAATGAAGAACACAATGGAGCCATAAAGTATAGTCCTTCGACGACCGATCACATCACCGACACGCCCCACGAGGAGCGAGGATATGAGTGCTCCAATTTCGAGAACTGCAACCACAGTACCAATTGTAGCCCGAGAAGGCTTGTTGAAGTAATCTGTGAAGTACCAGCCACTGTATCTGTTAGCCGGGGTCTGCTCCTAATCTCTACAGCGAGTCTATGAGGGACTAGGCACGAACGTTATGATGCCTGACATTACACCCTGGTCATAGCCAAAAAGAAAGACACCCAGTGATACAAACACACTTGTGAAATAACTGCATGAAATCCCCAGTCAGTAGTAGTACTGCAATGTTGGGCTTTCGGGACACTCACAGTAATGGCTTTCCGACTAAGCCATGCATCTGGGCGCGTGGTTCATTTCTGGGTGTCATTATGGCGGCCAGAACGCGTTCAACTCTCGAAATATGTCGCGGGGGAGGATTTGGTATTTTGATCTTTTCAATATCGACTCCAGAACTCTTGTTGCTTAAGTCTGAAGAATAGTGTACGTTTTTGGGTTGCTTTTTTCGGTCTTTTCGACGCAAGAGCCGTCGGTCTGAGGAATCCCGAAGGTGAATATGCAACGGATCTTCAGTCTCGGTGAACTGCTCGGCGAGATCACCGGTATCTGACCAGATTGAGAAGTCAGACCCGACCGAGCGAGCAGACGAGTGGGAAGACCGTCGACTACCCTTCTCGTTGGACTCCAATAAGCCCGAATGGGTAGAGCGGGAATCAGAGGGTAGGGACCGGAGAGGTATGTTAGAGGCGCGTGTGGAAGAAGTCGGAGAAATGATGGCGGTATTGGGCTGAACCTCGCAGCCCTCCCGAAAAGAATGCGGAGATGGGAATGATATCGATAAGAGAGGTTCTCCACAGAGGCGGGGAGTCAGCGAGACCTGGGCATATCCTTTTGAGTATTGGTCTGCACTAGGGCGCCACTCAGGCGATGTGGTCGCAGGCGACTAGCTACGTCAAGTCACACGCGCACCGTCAAGAATGGGGTGATGATCAGGCGGAAGATTTGGGAGAGAGAAGATGCGTTTGGGCAAAAGGGTTCCCAAGTATTACACCGCCAGAGAGAAGTCAAAATATAGGAAATTCGGGTATTCGGATTTTGATCTGTCTGAGAAACTAGGTAAAATAGCAAATTGAGTCAAAAGCAAGAAAAGCATAAGACATTCAAATGATAGGGGACAAATATGTAATGCCAAGTATTTGATTTGTACGCATACGGTATATACTAATACGTCTAGGGAAAGATCGACAAATGGGTTACTGATTACGTAGTATACGGGTGAGTATATACTTATCAATGATATGTACCAGTGTATAAATTATGAATCTTGCTATATAAACATGAATCTCGGTATATAAACCCGCTAGTCCTTCAAAGCTATTACCCCTAGGTGTCTCAAAGAACCCTTGATACTCAAGTCTGGGTATATATATATATATTTTTGCTTACATCTCATTTATATTGTCAGGTATCCAGGTATAAAGTCAGGCACTCAATTGAAAGTCGGGTATCGCTTGTGTATGTACTCTATATAAAACAATATTCTATGCCCGTAACGCCATCTCCAGAATGAACAGAAACATTGAACTAGAGAGAGGAGATAATCAATCCCGTGTAAATCATCAAGTGAGAAGGATATCGTATCCATCACTCTGAATATGGACAGCATCTGCAAGATTTGCGTACCGTCGGCGCACCAATTCAAAAATTATCAGCCCGGCACTGGTACTAGGTACTTGGCGAAGAGAACTCCCGACAAAACCACGGAACAGCCAGGAGCGCCAGCCCCCGGCCCGCACAGCCTTCCGCTTGCACCTCTTGAAGGTCTCTTGATAAGCGTGGTAGTATAATCGGATCATCTTCTGTCGCGAGGGTATCAAACTAGCCTGATGATCCAGATATTCCAGTCGACCCAGATGGAGGTCTTGAATCCTACTTAGAGGATGCTGAATAGTTTGCTGAGCGATCGATGCCACAACACCAGCCATCATCAGGAAACATGGCTCCAAGGCATAGTGGGGCTTGATGAGTGGCACCCCACGGTCACTGGACTCGGACGATGAAAGCTTGTCCACATGATCGACTTGCAGAGAGCCATAGTACCAGGTGATGAAGGAATAGTAGGACTGTGACTTGATGTATTCGAACGAGGAGAAGAACACAGCATAACCGAGTGAATCCCGCATGAATGACAGGCTCCAGCCTGCAAATACCCCCGGAAACCAATCTGTTTGAGTTTATGGTGACCATAATGCCACATACTCCGGTACTGACCCTTCAACATGTCATTGGTTCGAAACCGAACCTGTAACGCATCCAGAGGTGCAGCTACAATCGACTGAATTGTACCGGCAGTGAATCCAGCTGTAAATGTTGCAAAAGGAGGAGCCGGGGGCCAGACTCGCTTGACCCCTTGAGACACAGGCTCATGTAGGGCTCCTAAAACCTGGAGATAGGACGTGTAGAGGACAGCACCAACCCTGGTATATATCATTAGCAGTTTCAAATCACCTGGGGTCATATCCCTGGAAGGAGCTCACCCTGCATTGGCCATCAAAGGTGGGAGCACTTGATTGGGGATAAACCGCCAGCCATATGTCCGAACGGCGTGGAGCAATAATCCCGGGGTTGTCGTGTGCAGAGACCATTTGCCTTCAGCAACACGGGGGTTCACAGCTCTTGCAAATACCTGTTTCAAACGATAAGTAACCAAGGCTGGTGATGGGTTGATTGTGTTTCTCATCTATCTATTTCAGATGATGGGGTGGGGTGTACCATGTAACTAGGTGAAATATTGTCAATGCAAAGATCATTAGGTCCACAGATACTACATACTCGACACGCATACGAAAGAAAGCTTTGATCGGGGCCCTAAAATAGAAGGCTACCATCTGTGCACTGAGAGCACGAACGCCTGCGGCAGATGCTCCGGTAGCCGCATCGTTGCGAGAAATTCTTCGTGAACTCCCTGGAAGTTCGCCGAGATGGGGCTCGAGAAGGATGGGAGCTATCGGGGACTTCATTGTTTACAGACAAGCAAAAAGCCACAATGTACATCGTAGAAAAAGGGTGCTTGTGGGGTCTCAAAAAGAGACTGGCTCAATGTCGACACTGAATTTCAAAGCGCAGGCGACGTAGGTGGGAAAATAGGGCAGCATCACAGGGTGTAATTATTATCCAATCAAACGATGGAGTGAAGGCTCACATATGCCATGTTGACCTGAAAGTTGGAAAATAGAAATAAAGGCAATAGAGATATTAACAAAACATGTCAATAAGAGAAGAGAGAGATGAAGAAATAGCGCTAATACGGAAGTGGTAATACTTTGATACGGTAATCGAGAGGGACCTAAAGCGTCAGAACGCGCTTTTCGCGTTCGCTTTCCCCTAAGCCGTCCCTTTCTATCTTTGTCTTTTCTTCCACAGCCCCAGCTCTATTGGTGTCTTGTCTCTCATCATCATAGCTATCGCATTGATGCTGCCTTCATTTTCTGGCTACCTTCTCCATCCTCAACAAATCTAACACTCGGACACACCTACAATAGCGCCTAGGCTCCTCCACCGAGCTCTCTTGCCATCAACTTCGTCTCTGCTGCGGCACATCTAGCTCGCACCACGCCATCACCATGGCTGAAGAGATCGCCATTGACAAGAACAACTTTTTCAATCGTCTCTCTAGTTTCTATGCGTCATGGAAGGCCGACAAGCGGTCGGGCAATGCCCTCTTTGGCAATGCAGGCTCCATGGTCATTCTGATGGGCAAAACCGATGAGGAGAACTCATTCCAGAAGAATAACGCGATGCATGTATGTGAATCATCTTCCAAAGTCATATCCTTCTCCCTCTAGAGGCACATGGACTTCGTGGCGTCGTTGCTAATCGAATTTGTTCTTAGTTCTGGCTTCTCGGGTATGAATTTCCAGCGACACTGTTTGTTCTCACCACGGAAGCGATTTATGTGGTAACTACGGCCAAGAAAGGTGAGTGTCAGGGCGTGAAGTTTTTCGCGCTGCATAGTTAATTAACAAATCAAAAGCGAAACACCTTGAGCCTCTGAAAGAAGGAAAGATTCCCCTTGAGATTTTGGTCACTACCAAAGACCCAGAATCAAAGACCAAAGCATTTGAGAAATGCTTGGACGTTATCAAGAGTGCGGGGGTGAGCTCAATGTCATATGAATCCCCGGGTTGATTTGCCTCCCACTAATTACGGCAACCGCAGAACAAAGTCGGTACCTTGCCCAAGAACACAGCTTCGGGACCCTTCGCAGATGAATGGAAACGTGCATTTGCGGAAATATCGAAGGAAGTCGAGGAAGTTGATATAGCACCTGCACTCTCGGCGGCTTTTTCAATCAAGGATTCCGATGAATTGGTTAGTTCATCTATGACATTGTGTCCAACAAATGGTGTTTGCTGATACTGTCTCGTAGGTCTCAATTCGCAATGCTTCCAGAGCTTGCAGTGGCCTTATGTCAGAATACTTCGTCGATGAAATGTCTCGTTTGCTCGACGAGGAAAAGAAGATGACACACAAGGCCCTCGCCGCGAAGGTTGATGCAAAGATCGACGATGGGAAGTTTTTCAATAAGCTGGCACGCTTACCCTCAGAATTTGATTCACAGCAAATCGACTGGGCCTACGGACCTGTAATCCAAAGTGGGGGCGCCTATGATCTCAAACTCACAGCCACTCCCGACAGTAAAAATCTCGAACCCGGCATCATTCTGTCCAGCTTTGGAATCAGATACAAGACATACAGCTCGCTCATCGGCCGAACTTATTTGGTTGACCCCACGAAATCACAGGAAGCAAACTATGCCCTCCTGCTTAGCCTTCATGAAGCAACCATGAAAGAAGTTCGAGATGGTGTGGTCGCCAAGGACGTTTACAACAAGGCACTGAGTCTTGTCCGGGCAAAGAAGCCTGAGCTAGAAGGAAACTTTGTCAAAAACGTTGGCGCCGGGATAGGAATCGAGCTCCGGGATGCCAATATGGTTCTCAATGCCAAAAACAACCGCATCTTGAAAAATGGCATGACGCTGTCTATCACGATTGGGTTGACTGATGTGAAAGACCCAGACTCGAAGAATGTCAAGAATGGCGGCTATTCTATGGTCATCACCGATACAGTTCGTGTCGGGGAAAGTGGGCCTCACATTTTCACCAAAGACGCCGGTATTGATATGGATTCAATCTCATTCTATTTCGGGGATGAGGAAGAGCCCGAAGAGCCTGTGAAGCAGAAAAAAGAGGCCAAATCTAGCGCGGCTGCTGGCAGAAACGTCACAAGAACCAAACTTCGTGCTGAAAGACCAACTCAGGTCAATGAGGGAGCTGAAGCCCGTCGTCGAGAACACCAGAAAGAGCTGGCTGCGAAGAAGACAAAGGAAGGCTTGGAGCGGTTCACCGGTACTACTGGAGACGACAACGGGGTGGCACAGAAGAAATTCAAGCGCTTCGAGTCTTACAAGCGAGACAACCAACTCCCTGCGAAGGTCAAAGACCTCACAGTTTACGTTGATCTCAAGACGTCAACCGTGATTGTGCCTATCATGGGTCGACCAGTTCCCTTCCATATCAATACCATAAAGAACGCCAGCAAAAGCGACGAAGGCGAATATGCCTACCTACGAATCAACTTTCTGTCCCCAGGTCAGGGTGTGGGCCGAAAGGATGACCAGCCCTTTGAGGATTTGTCAGCTCATTTCGTTCGCAATCTCACTCTCCGGTCCAAGGATAACGACCGCCTTGCGCGAGTGGCCCAGGATATTACCGAACTTCGCAAGACGGCCTTGAGACGGGAGCAGGAGAAAAAGGAATTGGAAGACGTTGTTGAGCAAGATAAGCTGGTTGAAATCAGAAACCGACGTCCAGTGAAACTCCCCGACGTCTATCTCCGGCCTCCGTTGGATGGGAAGCGTGTTCCGGGAGAAGTCGAGATTCATCAGAATGGCCTTCGGTACCTATCGCCCTTCCGCAATGAGCATGTTGACGTGCTCTTCAGCAACGTGAAGCATCTGTTCTTTCAACCATGTGCCCACGAATTGATCGTTCTCATCCATGTGCATCTCAAGACGCCCATCATGATTGGAAAGCGAAAGACAAAGGATATTCAATTCTATCGCGAGGCTACGGAAATGCAATTTGATGAAACCGGAAACCGTCGACGCAAACACCGCTACGGAGACGAGGAAGAATTCGAGGCCGAACAAGAGGAAAGACGGCGAAGGGCTGCGTTGGACCGTGAGTTCAAGGCCTTTGCTGAGAAGATTGCAGACGCTGGCAAGGATGAGGGTGTCGATGTGGATATCCCATTTAGGGAAATTGGCTTTACCGGCGTTCCAAACCGGTCCAATGTCTTGATCCAACCGACCACGGATGCCCTAGTTCAGCTTACTGAACCTCCTTTCACGACCGTCACATTGAATGAAATCGAGATTGCCCACTTGGAGAGAGTGCAGGTAAGGTTTCCCGCTTGTTACTATTTTGTCAGTCCGGTTCACTAATACATGCGCAGTTTGGACTCAAAAATTTCGACATGGTGTTCGTTTTCAAGGATTTCCGCCGGGCTCCCGTTCATATCAACACGATTCCTGTCGAGGCGCTTGAGGGCGTTAAGGACTGGCTTGATTCCGTTGATATTGCCTTCACCGAAGGTCCACTCAACCTTAATTGGACCACCATCATGAAAACAGTCGTCAGCGATCCATACGGCTTCTTTGCCGATGGCGGATGGTCTTTCTTATCCGCCGAGTCAGATTCCGAGAACGGATCAGATGAGGAAGAGGAGTCGGCCTTCGAGTTGTCTGATTCAGAGCTTGCAGCTGGAGATGAGAGTTCGGAGGAAGATAGCGAATTCGATGATGACGCGAGTGCCGATGCCAGCGAGGAAGACTTCAGCGGCGATGAGGAGAGTGGCGAGGACTGGGACGAGCTTGAGGAAAAGGCAAAACGCAAAGACAAGGAAACCAATCATGAAGACAACGATCGCGGGATCAAACGTAAGCGCTAATCAACATTTTGTTGCCGCTAGGGCATCAAGCGGCTTTTCTTCTTGCCTTTTTTTATTGCAATCTGTTTTCCAATCTATGGACAAGTTGAGTTGGGCCATGTCTTGCATCTCTTGGTTGGCCTTTCAACTGCTTGTACAGTTTGACTCGGGGCCATACTGGATTGGGATTCAGAACAAGACACATCTATGGTGTTAATCGGAAGGAAACTAGTCTTTTGCTGTCTCTTAACTATACTCTATCCAAATATTCAATCATGAAATTCGCTCAAAGGGTCTTGAAAATTCCTCTAAATTGTACAACTAGGCTAACCCGGCTGGTTCACTTCTGACCTTCTCTTGTGTGGCTGCGAATGGGCACCTGAAAGAGCTTGTATTGGGCTTGTTGCCAGTCAGTGGTCACACTATTTCCCTTCGCGCATGGATATCCACATGCTTCGCATGCGCTCTCCTTGTCCGGGTGTGAAGCGCTCATAGCATACATCAGATGAATAATCCATGAAGTCATGGACTGCATCCAGTCCGGGGAGGTCCGGACACGAATCTTTTTGAGCAGGACAGCCCTCTGTCGGGGTGGACTGCTGTGGCGTGTCACTGATGTAGTCCCCCGGATTGTCTGCCGAGCAAGATTCCCCTTGGAATGTGTGTAAAAGGCCATTCCAATGTCCAATCTCGTGAATGGCAGTTCCGCCTCGATTATAGAGATCCAAGGAGCCACCGGGCATTGTTTTGGCCAAAACATTGCAGCCATCTTTGACATAGTGAGAAGCTGGGCTACTAGCATTGACATTCGGATCAGGCAAGGTGCAGAATCCAAGAACGCTTGATGCTTGGTCATTGTTGGTGACTGCGCCCCTGTGCCCAAAAGCGCGCCCTGTTTGTCCAGGGGAGGCCTGGAGATTGGTTTGGAAGTAAACGTTCAATGTTCGGTAGCTTCCTTTACGAAGGGTCGTTTTCATTGCCACATCATCTGCGTTACTCGCCCACTGATCATTGATATGACGAGTCACACCTTGCAGTCGATAGGAGATGCCAGAATCTGCATAAGACTGTTGTAGAATAGAAAACTGCAGGGGAAATGATTTAGCACTGAGATACCAGTCAAAAAAACAGCAACTGACTTGAGAATTGATCATATCATCGGTGACCTGGGTGGACTCCGACTTGCTGCTGATAATATGGAACCAGGTCTCAATCTCGATCGGGGCCTGTCTGGGCTGCGAACTAGCAAGATTGGCTTCACCCGACCTGAAGCGGCTTACTTCATGCAAGAAACTTGCACTGGGGTCTTCAGTAGCACAAGCGCCTCTTTTCTGAAGGGGAAAGGGGCTGGACCGCACCTGCAGAAAAAGAGTGACAAGAATCACAAGTTGGAAAAACGAGTGACAGACCATGGTGTTGAGAAGCCCTGATTTCAATCCCCCTTCACACCTATTCCAAAAGAGAAAGGAGAGAACAAATGGAAGGACTGGATGTAGACTCGAAAAAGAGTCATCAATCTCGAGATTGATCAGTATGGGGTATCATATAACCTGTCTGATTCCATAAGGAATGTTGCGTCATGCGGGAGTGCATATCTGGAGCAAGGGGTAGCATGTTAAAAAGGATAGATGATCAAACGATTGGTATGTCAAAGATTTGAGGATGAAGTCATTGAACACGGAGATTATTTACAGGGGCATATTGAAACAGGAAACGCCAAAACAAAAAAAAAACAAAAAAGTAGCAGCGTCTTAAGGGGCATTGTCCCGTCCCGTGGCGATGGCAGTACTGGGTTGATTTGAATCCCAAGTAAGATAGGTGTGGTCACCAAGTTTTCTGCCAGTGGTTAGCCATTTGGAGTTTCTTCATGGTTGTATTCAAAGAATATCATATATCATACCTCGGACGCACCAAATGTGCGACAGTAAACAGAGCCCCGAGGACGACGCAGATTCCACCAACAACTACATAGGCAATTCCCATAAAGGGATTTTTGCCTCCAAGCACTGTTCGGGTAGAGATCAAGATTGACTTGGTTCCATCGTATTCAGTGACATTGAAATCTGGGAAACAGTTAGCAAATGCAGCCAAGCGGTAGTGGTGAACACCTACTATCAACAATATCAATGGTATATGTTTCAGCAGGCATGTCATGCGTATCGTTACGACGGGAAAGCTTGCTGAACGATGGCAAACCAGCTGTTCTCATCCAAACCATGAAAGCTTCATTTTCATGTAGATTGGGAACCTCTTTATAGGCGCCGTTCTCGCTCGCCCAGACCCAATTTGGCGGTGGCAGGATTTCATCCAAATTGTACTTCGTCTGCTTGATGAGTTCCTTGTCACTGTCCCACGCAATGCCTCTATCGGTCATTTTGTAGTCTTCCTTTCCGCTTTTATCGTTCTCGGGTGCATTCGGATCGCGAATTCGGGGCCATCCGATGGTGTCGTTGAAGAAGGAGTTCGCAATCAGTCCGCATGGATAGTATACCTTCTCAGCCGTGGTGTTGACCGCTAATGGGTCACACGTGCCACCCTTAATCTTATGGTAGGGAACAGCATCTCCTTTCAGCTGATCCAAATCGAGCGACTGAACATATCGGCGGTGGTTTTGATAAAAGTTGGTAAGGCGATAGTACATGAAAACCGGCGCTGGAAGTTCGTTCGGAATCTCAAAAAGAAGAGTGCAAGTAATGGCGCCAGAATCATTGACGGACTTGCGCCAGGCGGGTGCCGATATGGATTTGGAAGATTTGAAGGTCGCCGAATAATGAGGAACGGAAACATACTTGTCAGTCGGTGCCTGTCTGGCGCAGTTGGAATAATCAATGGAAATTTCTTGGACCTAGGGCACATATCTCGTCAGAGGTATTCCGTCGAGGAAAGGGGGATGGAGTCAGGCATACTTGAGAGCTTGCCCAGAGAAGAACACCGCCAATTGGCGCGAAGATGACGCCCACGATGAAAAACAGAGGTAGAACGCTTTTGGGGGTTAAGATTGGTCTAGAAGATCAGCACGATTCAGGGGTAGAAATCGAGGCATCATGCTCACTGCCACGCTTTCAATCTTTGCTGGCGGAAAGCAGTATCTGGTACGAACAAGTTAGTTGGTGATTAAGGGTTGATGAGATCGTGGAACCTACTGGCTGGTCGGCGAGACTTGGGTTTTTTATCGCCATCTCTTGCACGCTCCTGCTCCTCAATAGAATCAGCGCGAGTCACGTCCTGAGACATGGCTGACCGAGATGATTTCGAAGAGGGAATTGGATCAAGATTGAAGTGGAGGGAAAGATGACACAAGGGGGGATACGTCAAAAAAGGTGGCGCCGGGCTGCCGGATGATTACGATTGCGCCCCACCGCTTTATTCTTGGGGTTTAACTTAGAAATATGATCTGGGAATTGATCAGAATAGCCCAGAATATAGGAATTGAAAATATTGTATATAATTGCTGTATTGGTCTATGATAGATTACGATTAATCTTTTCAACCCGTTTTATACTCGATTTCATGTTTCATTGTGTAGGCAATCCATATCTGGTCAGGGTATCAAGCCTTATCCTATGTGCTATTCTGAAAAATAAAATAAGATAAAATAAAATTAAAAGAACGATCAAGCAGTAACATTCAATCGCAATGGAGAAAACACCTGTGGCTAACCAAGCCTACCATTCTAGCCCAAAGCAAAACTCTCAAGTGAAGCACCCAAACGCCATAGCCAGTGAGCCAAAGTTGGAAAGAATCAAATGCACATAGGGTCTGTATGCAGAAAGAAGACGGAAAAGAAAGCCAAGGGGGGAATCTCAAAGAAAGAAAAGAAGGGCGTCATGAGGAGTCGTAAAAGCGAGATCGTGATCGAAAGAAAAAAGAAAACCGAAAGGCCGAGAGGTAGGATGGGTTCATGGGAGCGCCCGTAACACTTGTCTTGGTCAGGTGTAGAGAGCTGAAAGCACTCAAATATGGATTAATAGTCGAAGACTGTATCTGCACAGTGGTAGACACTGGGGTGAAGGGGGGTCAGTTATTGGAAAACAGTGCCTTTGATAGCCCAACCTGTGAAGAGAGGCGACACACAGGCTATGAATTGGTGGCAATGCCTCGTGATCAACGAGTACCAAATACGTAGCCTGCGATATCATGCTAGGTATTGATGGAAATATTCAGCTTTAAACCAGCCCACACGTTCGTAAGCGGTCCAAAGTTTGCTGGCTTTATTGACGTCAATCTTGCAAGCCTGCTGGGCATCCGTCTTGCGGAACTCTTTGCCAACACCAAGAGCTCGAACGCGAGCTTCGAAAATTCGACGCTTGCTGCATAGATAGGTCGCACATGAAAGTCTCAGGGTGGAGGCAAGATTGAGCTCGGCAGGACTGAGAATATTTCTGTCCGGGTCATTGCTCAAATCCAACATCTGCCCCTTCCAATCGGCCTTCAGTGCTTTGGCATTACCACCTAGGGTTTCTGCCGGTGGCGCGTAGTCCTTGAGTGAGTGATAATCGGTGTCATCACGATTCGTGCCCAAGGCACGAGGTTTGGTAAGCGGAGTTTGGGGGGGATCAAAGTTGTCAAACACCTGCTGCTTGGGGGTGGATTTAGGGGTGCGTTTGACCCGGGTTCGCTGCACACGCGGCTGGGTTCCCAGTCTTTTCGGGGGAGCAGGGGCAATCTTCTTCAACTTGGGTTCGTAATCTCCTGGGCGATAGCGGTTCATCATGGCCATTTGGCGCTCCAGCGTCTCCCGTTCCTCTCGAGCCCAGGCAGCTGGATTGCGATTGTACTGGGTCGAAACGATCGGAACACAGGAGAGTGCCAGGAGATATTCATCTCGGGTGGGTTTGTTCAACTTATTGCGAAACATTGCCATATGAGAATTCATGTGCTCTTCCACAAGTGCCTCTGCAGATGGGGGGTGAGCGGGGCCGAACAGTGGCTCATCCGTAGAAACGTCAGTAACGGAATCCTGAGGGGGAAAAGAACGGGGTCCCTAGGGGATCCCAAATCTCTTTCAATTTGGTCTGAGGCGTGGGAATTGCTTTTCTTATTCCCTGTGTAGGGGGTCACGGGTGGTGATGGAAGATCCATCTCTGACTGCGTCCGTTTTCGATCAGCTGAGATGGGTGGAAGGTGTATGTCACGAGCTGAGGAATCTCGAGACTTTGTAAACGGTGAAAGTGAGACGGAAAAACTCTCGAGAGGCTTGGTCTCTGGGGGCGACATGAGGCTAGAAACAGATGGGAGACGATGCATAACGCTCGGCTGTTTGGCTGGCTGCCAGCCAGCAGACGAAGTCATTTCAGATTAGATACCGTTGAGCCGGCGGTTGGCAATAAGAGGTTAAAGTGGTCAATGGTGTCAATATCCAGCGTTGGGGGTCTCCGGAAAGAGAGGGAAAGATGAATACACCAGGCAGAATGGGAGGATGGATGGCGAAAGCTGAACGAGTGTTTATGGAATTCAATGGAAGTTGAATCAGCTGGGCAGGCAAAACAGGTGATTTGTCAGGTCCTCTTTGTCTTGAGTGGCGATAAGCCAATACCTAAGTCTCGGCGTTAAGGCTCCAATGGCCGAATGAGTCAATTTGATTAAGGTAGTGGATGGTCCATGAAAATGAAAGAGAGAAGAGAGAAGGGAAGATTGAGAGGTGAACTGTGAGTCAGTATGTGATAAACTGCGGGGTGGCGCTTATGAAGATTCCGAGTTTCTCCAGGCTCATGAGACCAGACTACCTGACTGTAAAAGGGTTAGTTGGGACATCAGAGCGCAAAGGGGATCTGAGGGGAGAGAGGGGGGGGGAATATGTTTGGGTGTTGGAAACCAGCTGATCTCATCATTCGGTTCCTATGTTTTCCTGGAAGATAATGTAATGGAATGTATTGGTATTTTAATGGTATTTTATAGTTTGGTTTTGATTTTTCAGTTTGATTTTACACTCTACAATGTACCTAAAAATATAATCTATCATATATCATTTGGTTCTTCAATATATATGGGAGTCCACCATGTAAACTGATCACTTTCACATTGTACCCTTTCCTCATGTGACAGGCAATCACCTAATAAGATCAGCCGCAGGAGAGGCAACCCAATCATCTTATGGCACTGACCCCTGTCCCATGTGATTTATTGTAGATCCTTATCTTTTGATTTGCTTTCTCTCTGTTGCTTTCACTTTTCTGCGCTTTGTTTTAGAATCCTACCTATTTTGGTGGGGTAAATTTGTAGAATCAACTGATATTGACCAATGAGGTTTGGGGTGACTTGGGTCTGACTCATCTATATTCGAAATCTTGAGTCATAGTTGGCTGCCTACGTTAGGCGCCTAACCTATTTCTATTCGGACAGGTGTGATGTCATTATACACATCCAGCGTACAATACAGATACAGACAGAGCCGCTGAGGTTTGCATTGTTAGCCATAGGCAGACATGCTACGGGGCCAGGAAAAAGCCATTCTCTCCTGGCTCTGGTCACGAATCCCACTTGGATGTAGTCAAACCCCATTGAAACCGATACCACTTTTTCTTTGCACCCCCCAAAGAACACACTGTGTTGATTCAGCTAACTACGGAAGCGGGGAGGGGGAAGGCTTAGGAGGTATAGGGGTATTCCAAGGATGCCACTTTGAACTCTCTATCCAAGTATGTTGTACAAAATGTGTTGTGATTTGTACCTATTCCCCTTTTCAAATAAACACATCCTCTGCCGGAAAATTCGGTACGGCTTCCCAATTCATTGGGATTCGACTAATATTGCCACTCCATTTCTCTTCTGCCGTGTATGCTGCCCACTCCGGGTATACATGGTGAAAAGACATGCATTTGATGATAGGAAGAGACAAGCTACAAACTTTGCACACGTAAATCGTATCTTAATACTATAACACCGAAGTAGATCCTTTTTATTTATTAATCCTATGTAGAGGCCCGGCAGAATAATCCTGCCATTTCTCAACAATTATTACTTTTCACCTGTTACCAGCCAGTTCTTTGAGCAAAAGAGTGCTATATCACCGAGAGTTTTAAGTACGACGGGAGAAGGAAGGAAAAGGGATTGGTGGGAGTAGAGTACTTATAGTAAATATCTACCCTTCTTGCTTACCCTCCTTGTGAAGGATATGCCTGGGCGCACATTCTCCCACTCAGCCAAAAGACCATTATATCAGAGCGAGAGCTCTGATATGCCCAGGACCAATATATATAGTAGCACACATAGTTTATCCGTGACACTCCTAGTCGGATAATACTAGTAGAATAATTCGATGGAGCTCTAATATTCTTCGCATTCCTATAAACGTGCTAGAGGTCTAAGCTTATCACTAGGCCTCTGCAGAGCCCACAAATGGGTTGGGCCCGGCTTCGAGGGCCCAACTATGAAGTATAAACGTCCTTTCGTTGATCTAACCCCGTCACCAATCTAGCCACGTCATCATACCCATCTCGGGGTCAAGGTAGGGTTAATTCGTAATCGACCTAGCACGTGAATATATAGGGTATCGAGGTATAAGAACTTAGGGGTCCCTAGGATCCTATTTTACTTAACAAGAATGAGTCTTATCACCTTTAGATAAATATATTATAGTTCCCTCTCCTAATTGAAGCCTTTGTATCTTACCTAGTTAATGGGTCTTAGGTAACTAAATAACCGAAGGGAAAATCCTAAATTAGTGATATCCCTAAGGGCCTAGAGTCCTAGACTACTTAAGAGACCTAATTGATAGGGAAAGAGGGAACCCTACTAGGTCTATAGGATCCTATAACCTAGATTAAACTAGGCCTAGAACTAGGCATAATATATCTAGAGTAATATATAGGCTAAAGCCTATGACTAGCTAGAGCTACTATTATATAGCTAGAGAAAAGTGTTACAGACCTATCAGGCACCCACTGGGCTAAAACGCCCCACCACACAAATGGGCCATCGAGAGCCAACGAAACTAGTGTCACGTAAAGACAACCCCGGCAGAGTAATAGGACTAGACCTAAGGGGTTATTGCGGAGCGAAGCGAAGCAACCCATATCATAAGGGCTCGGGTGTATGTCACGTGACCTTGCTCCTATATGAGGTCCAAATCCATAGAGTTCTAATGCGGCGAAAATGTCATCGCTAAGAAATGGCAGAATAATTCTACCGGTAGTAGATATACACCATACCCAGCAATTAAAATTATTTATCACATGATATAAACTCTCTAAATCTAAATATTTAAATACGATAGTGATTATATAATTAAAACCCAGTACCTAACGTATTTCACAAGCGAGCTACGCACCCCACCTAAAACGCGTCTATAAATTAGCAATCAATTAATTTAACCACCCACTATACCACCAATTCGCTCTTAAAGCTCTAGAAATTTGTCGGATGCCATAGGCATCCAGGCATATAGATCAAACATGTTTGATATGCCATCATGTTTGGCAGTTTAAATAGGATCTCAGTATCCTATTCATACTTGCTTTCTCTTCTTCTCTCTCTCTCAGTCTTGCTTCTAGATAGAGAATATCATCATCATCTTCTCTGTCATCAAAATTCAATAGAGTAAGAGGGTAGGATCTTATTAGCCATCTAGGCTTTTAAGAATCAAGAAATCTTATCAATTCGTAGTGTAGCGCGCTACTATAACGTCCCTAAATCTACACTTCGGACACACCTACGTAGGGTCTAATAACGCGCGACTACTCGCGTAAACTCCTATAAATTGATAAAAATCGAAGAAGAATCTCTTAAGAAATAGATTCTCTCTATAGATTCTCACGGATTAGCTCCCTATCCCTCTACTATACGAGAAATAGCGAACCTTCTCCTTTAATATCGAGGAACTACCCTAGTAGTTTCGGTTAGTGAAAACTAGGTTATAAACTTTATAAAAAGATACCCTTCTCTATCCTCTAAATTCTCGAGACACTATAATTACGAATATATAAAATATAAGGGATCTTAGTGGCCTTCGGCCACCAGATAGACCTTATGAAGCGAAGTGACTTATTAGTAGTTAGTTAACGTATTCGGTAAGCGAGCTGGACACCCCACTAAACCCATTGAATTCAACTATATTTTTCTCGACGAAAATACCCTTAAATTTAATCAATTAAATTGATTTATCTAGCTAAACACCTATTGATCTTATACCCTATTCCCCCACACCCACTATACCTTAGTGGGGCCCGTTGACGTGGTTCTAATGCTAGCGAAGCACTTCTTGTAGTAGGGGGGGGGTGCTTTAGCTACTTCTATAGGCTTAGTAATTAATTAAGAAGCTTCTTAAACTAAGAGGCCTTTATCGGCCTATATCTACTTCTAGGATCTATTTCGCTTTTACTTCTACTTCTTATTTAAAGCGCGTAGTTCGCTTACTTCTTTCTTAAGTAAAGTAGTAGACTATATAGTGATTTAATAGGCCTTTAAAACCTGATTTATTGTATTATTTAGTGGATTTAGAGGACTCCTCGACCTTATACAAAGTAAAGCTTTAATTAACAAAGCTTACTTTTATAATTATATATAGTTTGAGGGTGTTTTTAGGTCCTAATCGCTTCCTCTACTCAGAGGGGGGTTAGGGTTCGGAGTTAAATATTAAGCTTTAAAATCACTTTATTAGGTAAAAAAGGCACTAAACTAGCTACTTTGAAGCTATTCTTAATAGTCTCTAGTTTATAGGCCTTAATTTATATAAGGGGGTATAATTTAAGGAAGTTAAGTTTATTAATATAGTTAATCCTATATCTTATTTTTATCTCTACTAACTAACTATATATATATTTTAATACTATAAAATAGCTAATATTAAGAGGCTATAAAAGGTAAGAGGAATATAGAGGTATATAAATTAGTATAACCCTATTTTACTTATAAATCTTATTAAATTTAGGGGTTAAATAGCTTCTATATCTATTAAGAATTAGAAGCCTATACCCCCCCTTTATATATAGAGAAGTACTAGGAATAAAGAGCTTTTTAAACTAGCGAAGGCCTATTTTATTAGAAGTCTAACTATTAGGACTAACTTTAAATCGCTAGTTATTTAGTAGGCCTTCGAACTATAATTCTATATAGACTTTACCTTTAAAAATAATATATAGAGGAAGGGCCTAACTAGATAAATTTATATATTTAATAGTAGCTACCTATTTATAATTTCTAGGTTATAAAAGTAACCTCTAACTATAGTATTCACTCCTTATAATAACCTTCGTAGTTATAGTTAATCCTATTATAAAACTAGTCTTATTAAAGTTATAAATATTATTAGGGTTAATTCTAAATTAAAGGATAGTATTTTAAATAAGTATAAACCACTCTTAAATAATCTTTAGGTCTTCGTACTTTATATATTTATAATTATAGTGTCTTAAGAATCGGGAGGAGAGGAGAGGATACTATTATATAAAGTTATAGGTCTATTTTTTACTGACCGAAATCACTAGGGTAGTTCTATATTATTAAAGTAAAAGATTCGCTATTTCTTATATAGTAGTAGGCTAGGGGGCCACTCTATATAAATCTATAGAGAGAATCTATTTTTAAAGAGATTCCTCTTTAATTTCGGTTAATTTCGACGAATTAGTGTGAGAAATCGCGCGGTTTTATACCCTATAGATATAGGTAGAGAGTGTTGACTTCGGTATATTAAATTAGCGTACTACCTTATAAATAGAGCGAATTTCTTATTTTTTAATAGCCTAAATAGCTAGTAATATCCTACCCTCTTACTCTATTGATTTTTTTAAGCTTTAAGAGCGAATTGGTGGTATAGTGGGTGGTTGAATTGATAAAGTGCTAATTTATAGACATGTTTTGAGTGGGGTGTCTAGCTCGCTTATATGTCTAGCTCGCTTACCGAATACGTTAGTGACTATATATTGAGTACGTAATCATAGCTAGATTTAACGTATTCGGTAAGTGAGCGGCCACTATAACCGAGCGGCCACCTACCTAAACCCTATTAAATTTAATTATATTTATCTCAACCAAAACCCCATTAAATTAAATATAGTAAAATCATCTATCTACTGAGGCACCTATTGATTTTATGACCTATTTATCCGCACCCACTATACCTTAGTGGGGCCTATATATATGGTTGTAAAGCCGGCGAAGCGCTTCTTCGCGGTAGGGGTATAGGTACTTCCACTACTTCCACTATCTCACTAATCAATTAAGAAGCTTCTTAAACTAAGAGACCTCCTTTAGCGGGTATCTACCTTTAGGATTAAGTATATTTTTATTTCTACTTCTTATTAGTAGTATATAATTCCTTATTTTTTATAGTAAGTAAGATAGTATCTTATATTATAAGATAGAAGCCTTTTATAAGCTAGTTTAATATACAATCTAATAGACTTAGTAGACTTTAAGATCTTATATAAAGTAAAGCTTTAATTAACGAAGCCTATTAACGTAGATCTTTCTCTATAAAAGGGGTTTTTAGGGTAAAATTCCGGCTTAAATCACTACCCTAGCTAGGGGGGGTTAGGGTTTAAAGCTAAATATTAGGCTTTAAAATCACTTAGTTAGGTCTAAATAGGACTAAACTAGTAGCTAAGAAGCTATTTTTAATTGTTTCTAATTTAAAAGCTTTAATTTAGGTAAAGGGGTATACTTTAAGGAAGTTAAGTTTATCGATATAATTTATCCTAACCTATATTTTTAATTTAACTAGCTAACTATATATATATTTTAGAACTATAAAATAGCTAATATTAAGAGGCTATAAAAGGTAAGATAAATATAGAGATATATAGATTAGTATAATCTAATTTTTCTTATAAAGTTTATCAAACTTTAGGGTTAAATAGCTTCTATAACTATTAAGTATAAGAAGCCTATATCTCCCCTTTATATATAATAAAGTTATTAGAATAAAGAGCTTTTTAAGCTAGCGAAGTCTAATTTTATTAGAAGTCTAACTATTAGGACTAACTTTAAAGCGCTAATTATCTAGAAGGCTATTAAACTAGGATTTAATAAAGACTTTACCTTTAAAAATTATATATAGATAGAGTACCTAACCTAAAGTATTTATATACTTAATAATAGTTACCTATTTATAATTTCTAGGTTATAAAAGTGATCGCTAACTATAGTATTCACTCCTTATAATAACCTTTATAGTTACTATTAAGCCTATTATAAAACTAGTCTTATTAAAGTTATAGATATTATTAGGGTCGATCCTAGATTTAAGGATTATCTTCTAAACTAGATTAAACCACTTAGTAATAATCTTAGGGTCTTTATATTTCGTATACTTATAATTATACCGCTTCGAGAATTAGGAGGAGAGAAGAGGATACTATTTTATAAAGTTATATACCTATTTTTCGCTGACTAAAATAACTAGGGTAGTTCCACACTTTTAGAGGAGAGGATTCGCTATTTCTTATACTATAGAGGGCTAGGGGGGCTAATCTGTGGGAATCTATAGAGAGTATCTATTTTTAAAGAGATTTCTCTTCTATTCTAGAGAGTTTATATAAATTAGCGCGAGAAATCGCACATTCTTATATACCACTTAGGCAGTAGCGAAGAGTCGAACGTAGGATATTAAAGGTATATATAGCAAGAGAAATAGAAGTAATATCTCTATTTTTAAAGCCTAGATAGCTAATAAGACCCTACCCTCTTACTTGATTGAATTTTAAGAGCTTTAAGAGCGAATTAGTGGCATGGTGGGCAGTTAAATTAACCAAGTGCTAATTCATAGATGTGATTTTAGGTGGGGTGGCCGCTCGGTTACAGTGGCCGCTCACTTACTGAATACGTTAGATTCCCCTATTTATATTACGTGATAAGAACTTTCAGTACTAAGGCCTCTAGTATAGAGGCCCAGCAGAATTATTCTACTATTTCTTAGCGATCATTTTTCACCGTATTAGAATCCTATAGATTTAGACCTTATATAGGAGTAAGGTCATATAATATATACCTAAGCTCTTATAATATAGGTTACTTCGCTTCACTCCGCAATAAAGACCTAAAGGTTATCTAGGAGTGGTTTAATCTTATCTAAAAGATAATCCTCTAGTTTAGAATCAACCCTATGTTACACACTGGCTAACTGGTCACAGTTAGGTCGGACGGTTCAGGGTATAGTTACCTTAATACACCTTGGGTTTTCTAATGTCAACGATATGCCTATCGTCACTAAGCTATTACCTATTCTGTTAGGCCTTACTATAGCCTAAGTCCCTAGAAGTTGTGTCGAGGAATCGATGCTAGGTAGAGCGCTAAGTAGATCTATACCAAAGTATTGGTCTAGCTTGTAGTGTTATTAAGTTATAACTAAGTTAAGAGTTGGTAGTCTTAAAGGTAGATATAAGTAATAATATATAATTAAAGATAAAGAACTAAACTAAGTATATAAATAAAGGGGATTGATATGACCACCCCCCCTTGGCTCACACCACCCCCCCCTGCCTAAATTTTCAGCCACCACTTTCCCTATCGGGTGCGACACTGAATTCTGCCATATTTCTGCTAGGTGTAGAGTTTTCTGCCATATATTCTACCACCCCTATATAATTCTAGTTTATATAGTAAAAAAATATATATTTTAATAAGAAAAAATCGTATATTTCATTGGTTTCTGCGTTAATCTACTCTATATATTATATATACTTCTTTTAGGCACCTCCGCGCGCGCGTTTTCGTCCTCGACCACGTCCTCGACTACCTCTACCAGTTTCACCAGCGTCAGTTTTACCAGCGTTAGTCTCACTAGCGTTAGTTTCTCCCTATCCCTAAGTACGTCCTTAACCTTATCCCCGCGGCCGACCACGTCCTTATCCTCGTCCTTATTCCTACGAAAGTATATATTCGAATCCTAAGGGATCTCGATAGGTTAATCGATCTTAGATAAGGGGATTAGGTGAAGACTAGATACTTTACTAGGTATTTAATTAGGTATTCTAAATAAAATTTCTTACGCTATAGGGATATTGATGACAGAGAAGATGATGATGATATTCTCTATCTAGAAGCAAGACTGAGAGAGAGAGAAGAAGAGAAAGCAAGTATAAATAGGATACTGAGATCCTTTTTATACTGCCAAACATGATGGCATATCAAACATATTTGATCTATATACCTGGATGCCTATGGCATCCGATATCCCCCTCATAGATCAAGCATGAAAATAAAGCGAAAAACCCTCTTATTCTAAACCCAGCTACTGTATAAAAATCCTGAATTGATCCTTCGCCAAAGCCTTAGTAAATCTATCAGCCGTGTTATGCTTAGATTCTACCCTGTATATGCTGATATGACCTTGTGCAATAGTATCTTTAACGAAGAAATATCTTAATGAAAGCTAGCGATTGGCGGACCTACCCCCTTTCTTAGAGAGCAGAAGCTACGAATTAATACTATTAGTGTAGATAACTATAGTATCGGGCCTTAGTAATTAAAGCGAATCGGCCACTTTGTTTAGCTATATAGTATCCCTACTAGGCTAATTAAGCGCGTACCACTCTACTATAGTTGTAGAATTGGCTATAATAGTCTATTTCTTCGTAAACTATATCACTGGAGAGCTAGCGAAAAACCAGATAATACCTTCTGTCGACTTACTGTCCTACTAATCGGTGTATAATATATTAGAATATACTAAAAATTGTAGTTCGTTAGACTTTGTAAGGATAATTCCTAGGTTAGGATATTAGCGAAGGTATTTAATGACATAATAAAGTGCCTCTATATCGTATAACGTCGGTTTCGCTAATCGGTGCTATAGTCTTATCACTACGAAGCGAATATTAGGCCTAGTTTTGACTACTAGCTAATTAAGTATTCCGACCACCGATTAATAGTGGTCGAAGCTATCGTTATCGAGTAAGGCCTCTAAACCTTCTTTAATTGTAGTTTCTCTCTATCCTATAGGTAAAGGAATATCCTTAGTACCTAGAGTGCCTGATACCTATAGGATCTTTTATATATAGGTACTCTGTGATAAAGAGATTGTCCTCTTTTTGTAGTCTCTGACTAAGGTATAGTTTAAATACTGTTTTAGTTCACTAAGGTCCTTTATATTATAGTATTTTTAAAGCATAGAAACCACTATTTAAATCTCTATTTCTATCGGAGCGGCGATAATAAAATTATCTATATAGATTATTATAATTGTTAGGCCTATCCCTTTTCCTTTAATGTAGATACAAGGGATCTTGGTGGCCTTCGGCCTCTAGATAGACCTTGTGAAGCGAAGTGACTTATTAAGAGTAAGTAGTTAGTTAGTTAGTTAGTTAGTTAGGTAGTGACTACGTGTTGATTACGTACTTATCGCTGGATTTGGATTTACCTGTTTATATCACGTGATAAGAACTTTCAGTACCTAAGGCCTCTAGTACAGAGGCCCAGCAGAATTATTCTGCCATTTCTCAGCGATCATTTTTCACCGCATTAGAATCCTATGGATTTGGACCTCATATAGGAGCAAGGTCACGTGATATATACCTGAGCCCTTATGATATGGGTTGCTTCGCTTCGCTCCACAATAAGGGTTATTACCTAGGGGTAAAAAGCCTATTTATTGAAGCTTAGAATCTATATCTTTATTCTAAAGGTAGGCGCTATCCCGGAGTCTAAATAGTGCCTGGTTTAATAAGTATACCTATTAGTGAGAGGTCCTATTAGAGTACTTAAATCTAGTTAGTTACCTTATATAGATAACCTCAGTATACTCTCTCGAAGTATTAAGATATACCGCTATAAAATTAACTTATCTCTATCTAAGGTTATATATCGCGATAAGCGTTAATATTACCTTAATCATATATTCGGAAACCACTGGAGCGTAAGATTTAGCTCTATCTTTATCCTAGAAGTTTCTATAGACCACCTAGCGGGCTTTAAATCTATACACTTAATCCTTTATATTTATTTTTAGTGTGAATCTCTATTATCCTAGAAGGACTTTTAATTATAGAGGTTTCGGGATTAGGGTCTATATTCGCTTAGCGGCGAGGTCCCTCAGCTATTTCTCTATAGCTTCTTTCTAATATATCTAGAAAGGTAACTTCTCTACCTATTTATACGTTATAGGAATATTAATATCCCTTATATATAGCGGTTTATTATTAAATATAATAGGTATAGTGATATCTACTATAGCGTTTATAGATCCTTTAGCTTCCGATAGATCCCTAGGTAATCTTAATCTCGATCTTTATATAGCTCTTTAACTATCTCTATCCTATTTCTTATATTCGATAGAGAGGTGTTTTTAATTAGGGTTATAATACCTCTCTAGCGGTATACCGATATTAGTACGCCTTAAGCGATAAGGTATAGGTTTAGCGATTAGATTAGGGGTTAAAGAGATTAAGATAATTTCCTTATTTTACTCTTAAAGTATTAGAGATTATAAGGCTTCCTCTTCTTCTTCTTCTTCTTCTTCTTCTTAAGCCTTAATTATTAGCGAGGAGAAGGGATATTAATATCCCCTTCTCTATACTTTAGGTGATAGAGTTAATTCTATAGATCTAGTTTCGCTAGATCTAATCTCCTATTCTATAGCCGACGCTTGATTCTTTATTTTAGTTATCTCGCTACCTATTCTTAAGACTTATAAGGTTAGTTCTTAAAGCCTTCTCTAGAGATTAGACCTCCTAGTTCGGTCTTCTACTTTACTATAAGCTTAATACTTAACTATATTAGTGATATCTTCTACCCTTACGCTAGTTATAACTAGAAGTTATATTGTAGGAATTATACTCCTTAGAAAGATATTAGGCTTTATTACTAGTAGTGGAGGTAATGATTTTTATAATTATAGTATTATAGGTATAGTCTAAACTCTACCTTACGCTCCTAAGAGCTAGATACTTACTGAGGGTATAATAAGAGTGTCCCTTAGGATCGACTTCTCCACTTATTGCGAGGGCTAAATCTAATTAGATCTATATATATCAAGGAAGCTAATATAGCCTCTACTATTACCTAGTGGTCCTTCTAGCACTAGTGCCTTTATATAAGAAGGTAGATCTCTATTAGAATTATTATCTCCTAGTTAAGGAAAACCTATATCCCTTAAAACCTTAACCTTCTTACTAATAGGGTCCTAGACTTTAAATATATAACTATTATCCCCCTTATACCTAACTAGTATTCCTTTCTATACCCTTAGGGATACCTTTTTCGCCTAAGTACACTAAGCTCTTAGGATATATATATAAGTAGTGGATCCCTATAGTAAAAGGTACTTTAATATTAGCTCTAGATTTGGAATATTAAGGTCTCTTCTCTAATACGTTAATAGCGATATCTTAGTCTTAGGGTTAACTAATCTATTCGTAATATAGATAGTAGTGTCGACTATATAGGGCTATATATTTTTAGGTATATTAGCGTTAATAATTATTACCCGCTAAATATTATTAATATAACCCCTAAATCTCTTAATAACACTATTTAGTTAGGCTATATAGGGGGGTATAACTTTAAAAGTTATACTACGTTTTACCCCCTAGTTAATAAAATTTTTAAACTTAGTCCTACTATCTATTCGCTAGATCCTAGGGTATCGGCCTATAAGGAGCTTAATCTTCTTATAAAAGGAGGTTAATTTAATAAAAGCCTCTCCTTTATTAGTAAGTGTGATTCCTTTAATATATTAAGTTATATTATCGACTATTAGTAACTAGTACCTCTCCCTATTTAGACCTATAGGCTTTATTAGTTAAGTGTTAATATAGAACTTCTATATAGTATCCTATACTTATTCCTAGATATCTTAGGAGATCTTTTACTTTGACTTACCTAGGAAATAGGCCTTATAGTCGAAATACTTATTTCTATATCTCTTATTATCGCTAAGCTCCTCTATATAGCTTAAAGTTAATAAGATTTTCGCCTTTCTAGTGTAACTAAGTCTTCTATATATTTCTAGAGTAGTCACTTAGTTAATAATACTAAAATCGTGTAGTTAATCTTATTTATTATCTCTTTCCCTACTATAATTAGTGGGTGAAACTAGATATAGAACCCTAGATATTGTTTCGGTGTAACTGATAGTATTTCTATTACTATTAGTAAGTAATTTCGATCTTATATTATAAGATATATCTTAATCCTAAAGAAGTTTCTATATTCTAAGAAGCTTCCTATAACCACTAGGGCTAAAATAACCCTAGGTTAAGAAGGAATAGATTATTCTATTCTATAGGACTATTTTAACTAGGATTTCTCTATATCCCTAAGTGATAACTCTCTTACTAGAGTAGTCTTTATATATATAGGTATTAGTTAGATTATCTTAATAATAGGTATAGAAATCGTTAAAATCATAGGTTAGGGTTTTATTAGATCCTATATCTAAAAGCTAATTATTAAGCCTAAAATTAGGGCTAGCTACTATAATAGCTATATTACTTCCGCCTTCCGCCTTTATAGTAATACTATAGGTCTAAACCTACTTACTACCTATCTATAAAGCTAGTAGAGTCTCTAAGATATAGGTATATTATTTTGTAGGATAAGGACTATACCTATAGTAGGAGTATATACTATTCTTATCTTTCTATATACCCTTACGCTTCTCGCGAGCGTATTCGTGAATATCCTTTCTAGCTAGAGGCTGATTACGAAGGCCTTTCTTCTTTTTAGAGTCTTTATTCTTATCTTTCTATATAGAGGTATTATTATTATTACTTCCTATATAGCCTCTATAGTTACCTCCTTAGCTACCGCGTTTTAATTTTAATCTATATCTAGCCTAGCGATTAGTATTAGATATACCTTTAAGATTAGTAGCTACTTAGATTTCCTAAAGATATTAATCGAGTTTTGTGTCGTTAATAGTACTAGGTTTAACCTTACTAATCTCTTTAAGAATAAAGCTAATCTTTAGGACTTTATTGTATAACTATCTAAGTATATTAGATAGTGTCTAGAAAGGATAGGGACTAACTTTAAACCTTAAAATCCTATAGTGCTAGTTCTATATTTAAAGGATAAACTTATAAGTAGTATTAAAGCTTAATCGCTTGATTTTAAAGTATTTCTACCACTTATTGTGTGTATTATCTACTTTATCTCTACCTTAAACTATACTTATTATCTAGTCGAATATAGTATCGGCTTCTTCTAGAACGTAAGCGAGATTCTTAATCCGCCTTTATAGGTTCTAATTAACCTATAGGAATAGCTAAGTGCTAATAATTAATAATTAGTAAACCTATCTTATATATAATAGATCTACTCGGTCTAGTCGAGGGGTTTCACTTTTAATTAAGTCACTAAATCCTATTAGTTTAAGTGTTATTCTAACTCTCAATTCCTAGCTCCTTAGACTTATTATATTGTGTTCTAGGGCGTTAATCTTATTAATATCGATCTTCGCTCTATCTAGGAGATCGGTTCCTTAATAGTGGGGAACCTCTAGTTCTACTAGTAGATCGGCTGGCGTACCTAGAATACTAGGTACCTAGGCGCTCTATGAGCTTTCTATGGTGATTGAATTATACGAATTAGCGTACTCTCTCTAAAATCAAGATATATCTTGAATTGAGAGAATGATACCTTACTTTCGGTTCACTTTACCTATCGATAAGGTATAAACCAAGTAAGATATAGATCTCTTTTAATAAGAAATCCTGATGATTCTCCTAGGTAAGGAGAGATCCTCCTTAATGATCCGGAGGATGGTTTCTTGATAAGAAACCACTGGATGAACCAGTATAGAAGAGTGCTAGGAGTCTTTTAAACTAGCATGAAAAGGCGCTTATAACCTAATGACAGAGAAGATGATAATGATATTCTCTATCTAGAAGCAAGACTGAGAGAGAGAGAAGAAGAGAAAGCAAGTATGAATAGGATACTGAGATCCTATTTATACTGCCAAACATGATGGCATATCAAACATGTTTGATCTATATGCCTAGATGCCTATGGCATCCGACAGATATCTTTATTATCGAACCTAGAGGGGATTCTATAGTAGAAGTAAAGGATTAATTAGTAGTGCTAAGACTAAGTATAAATATTAATATTAGTAGAATAGCTCTAGTTTAAGGCTCTTATTCCTATCCTTATACTCCTTAATTGTATAAATATAGGGGTACCTAGCTATTTCCTTAGAATTATAGTTATAAACTAGGGGAATTAGAGGTTTATCTTCACTTTCTAGGAGATATTATACTTAGAGTTTTTATATATATTATATTACCTTTCCTAAGACTTATCCGATAAGTAGTATATCCCTAGGTATAATAGTTATTAGTCTCCTTATCTTATTGTTCTTAATCTTATTTTAAATCTTTATAAATTAACGCTTTACTATACACTTAAAGGTTTAAAGGATAATAAGTAAATCACTTATTAATACCTATAAGTCCTACTTTAGGAGCTAGTGGCCTCCTTCTATTTAAGAGGTAGCTATTTCGCTAAGATAGAGATATTAATAAGTATAAATATAAAAAAACTACTTAGGGTAATTATTAAGCTATTTATCCTAAATATACTTAATAAGTGGTTAGAATATTAGGTCTTTATAGTTCTCTTTAAAGTATTCCTACTATTAGGTTATCTCTTCGATAGTTATAGTGTATATAATCTAATCTAATACTTTAGTATTTTCTTCTAGCCTTTATCTACCTTTTAATAAAGCTCTTTATCTCTCTATACCTTTATTTAACGTTAGGAAGTAGTTAACTAGGAAGTGGTTAACTAGGTAGCTAACTCTCTCTTAGCTCTTATAATCTAGTCTTAAAGAATTAGATACACCTTTTTTAAGAGATATATATTAATATACTAGATATAGATTATACTAGATATAGTAGGAAATATACTTTTAATAGCTTTTCTTAGTATATCTTCTTTATCTATAAGAATTATCTATAGGGGCTTAAGACTAAGGGCTTTATATATATTGGTAAGGTAGTTTAAAATAACTTTATATATATTATCTTTCTTATTCTAGATAAAGGTAAAGCTAATATAGAAGGTTAAACTAGTAGTAGAGAAGCTAATAATATTAAGTAAAGGTAAGCTATACTAATTTATTTTATATATATAGTCTATAGAAATTACCTAGGGATTTAATTTTAGTATTATAATACTTAATTTATATATATAAAATAGAGTAGTAATATAGTTATCACTATCGACTTTATATCTAAAGATCTATTCTCTATCCTTTAGGAGCTCTATTAATAATACCTAAAGAGAGGTATAGCTAGTAAGGAATTAATAGTTAAGTTTCTTTCGAAAATTATAGATATCCTAGGGAATTAGATATAACTCTAGATTATCTTTTTGTAGACTAAAGGATCTAATAGGTAGGGAGGCCCTATTTAACTTACTTCTAGATCTCTTCCACTTTTATAGTAAGCTCTTTAGCTCGATAGCTTAGGTAGGTAAACTATGCGCTCTAGATCTTTGTACCACTAGTTAAGGATAGAAGCGTCTAGTAAAGGTATACTAGTACACTCTCTATTACTTGGCTCCGCGGGAGGAGGGGACTCGGTGGTTGGTAGGAAAGGGGTGGACTTAGTGCTTGTCTCGGTGATTGGCTGCCTAGTGCTTAGTAGGATGGGGGGGGACTTAGGGACGATCTCTGGATCGGATTCTGGGTCGGAATCTAGGTATTCTAGGCCTAGGGAGGCTATATTAACGATAGATTTGATATAGAGATTAATGAAATTGATAAAGAAAGTGATGAAAAAATGGGGTTGAAAAAGGTAGGTTAATATATATAAACTAGAATTAGAATATTAATTTGTCTTATCTATATATATAGGGAGTTATGTGACAAAAGTGACTTAATTTTGTATGGGGTTTACATATAAACTATAGGTACCTACTATCTACTACTATTATATAGGTTTTTTGCTACAAAGTTTACTACGAAGGCGGTATATGAATCAGGAAGGCGGTGGTATTTATACCTGAATATTCAGGCAGGGGGGGGGGTGTGAGCCAAGGGGGGGTGGTCATATCAATCCCCTAAATAAATATCCTTATATATCCTCCTATCTTCCTATAGTAGTTAGGTAGTTAGTAGATTAGTAGATTTATCTTAGCGGAATCTACTTATCTACTATTAACTATTCTACTACCTATATAGTTATATAACCTAGCGCCGAGGTCTTACTACACTAATACTATCCTTATATAATATTAGTTTTATTAGCTCTAGATAGCCTAATTATATAGTGGGGTATTTATTCTAATAGGTACCTAATAGGTCTATAATATTACCTCCTCCTTCCTAGGAGTTTTATCCTCGAAGCTTATAAAAGCTATAGTCCCCCTCTTTTTCTAGTAAGTTAATTCCCTTATCTAGTCTCTATTATACCTAAATATAAGGCTGATTCTATCCTTAAAAGTGTCCCTAAACTTCCTTATAATTCTTTGATTACTTACTATATATAAGCTAATTATATTAAGGTAAATAGCTTTATAACTACTATTTCTTATAGTCACTACCTTAGTATAGGTATATCTTATATAATAGATTGTTCTTATTATTATTCTAAGTATACTACTTATATATAGGTAGGTTAGTTATATAAGTAGGATTTCTATACTTCTTAGGAATAGGATTTATTATATAATACTAAAAATAAACTCTCTATTAATATTAAAAAGAATAAAAGTAAGCTCGATTTATTAGAGCCTAAGTTATCTATATTATAGTCCTATCTTATAGAGCTATATTAAAAGTTACTAAATAAATAAAAGTAATATTAAAAAGCTATATTACACTAATAGTAGTTATAGAAGTAGATAGTATTCTTAAAATAAAAGGGTTTTAAGATATTAGAGTATAATACTAAGTTTCTTTAAATTCTTAAGGAGAAGTATTTATCCCCTAAGTAGCTTCCTCCTTCTACTTATAATCTAGAGTAGTTAGCTACTACTGCTAATCATCCTAATTTTAATTAGATATTATCGGAGATTATTAGTCTCCCTTCTTCCTTCTAGGATTCTAAGTCTTCCTTACCCCTCGCTATTCCGGAGTTCGCTTTACCTTCTAATAGTACTATTAAATAAGCTAGTGGTAGCCCTTTAAATTTATAATAGGTTTCTATATATTTTCTAAGGTAGGGTATCCTTTCTACTATACTCAAAGTTACTACTAATTATTATACTATTAGTCTACTAGGATATATTTAACTTTATATTCTTCTTTAATTTCTATATTAAGGTCTATATTAGTAGCGATTTTAGTATTAACTAGTGTAGGTTTAAGTAATAAGATATAAAATACTAGGTAAAGTCTTTATATACTATATAGGAGTTTTAATCGATAATTTACTTATCTAATTTTTTTATCGATTTCGAAAGATCCTAATTATAGATAATATAGCTTATCGCTTAGTCGCTTAGTTTTAATATTTTATTATAGTAAACAGACTTTTCCCCCTTTTTTTAGGTCTAGCCCTCCTTTATATTAGTTATTATAGTACTTTTTTATATAGAGATTAATAAAATTAATATCCCTTAATAGCTATAGATATAGCTATTTTAGCTCTATAGCCTTAAGTTATACTAACTCTACTATAGTGGTTTTTTCTTATAGAGTCCTAATTACCCTTAGGTAGTACCTAAAATTTATATAGAATAGTAATTTATTAGTGGTTATATATATAGTGTTATTATATACTAATTATACTATTAGTAATAGTCCTACCTAATTATCTTATTAGTAATTTATATAGTGTCTTAGATACTATTTTAAGGTCTAGTTTACCCTTTCGGTTTATCTATTAGTTTATAGGTAGTAGGTAGTAGAGAATCTTAGCTTAATACCTAGTTAATCTATAAATAATTACTATATATTTGATATAAATAGCTTATCTCTATTAGATATAATTTTAGTAGGTAACCTATAGTTAGTAATTATATATTATAGGATAATATTAGCTATCTAGTTAGTAGTAATAGTTTCTATAGTTAGAATTATATAGTTATACTTTATTAGCCTATTAACTATAACTATAATTATAACGTATTTCACAAGCGGCCCGGCCACACAAGCGGCCCGGCCACCTAACGCGAAACACGTCAATTAATTAAACCTTCCTTCTTCAACTACCCACCATGCCACCAATTCGCTCTCAACGCTCTAGAAATTTAATAGAGCAAGAGGGTAGGATCTTATTAGCTATCCAGGCTTTTAAGAATCAAGAAATCTCTTCAATTCGTGAAGTTGCACGCCGTTTTAATGTGCCACGTTCAACTCTCCAAGATCGACTACGCGGCCACCAAAACCAAGGAGAAGTACGTGCCAATAACCATAAATTGACAAAGATTGAAGAGGAATCTCTTCAAAACTGGATTCTCTCTATGGATTCTCGGGGAT